GTAGGCTACATCTCTACGCAGATATAGCGAGCCTTATAAGCGTAAACTACTAGGTAGCGAACTTTTATTTAATAGCGTTAAGGTAGCCCTTTTATCTAAGCTTCTAGTCTAACTAAACTCTTAAAAAGCGCGCCTCCTAGACTAAGGGTATAACCTGGCCGTTAAGGTAGACAGGCGTTATTAGTATAGTATAGGTATAGGTAAGGTAAAAGAGCTTACTCTTTTTTAGGGTAAACTTTATCTCTCTTATACACGACTACTAGCTATATATCTACTACGCCCCTTTAAGGTACTAGCGTGTCTTTATCGTGTCTCTACTAAAAGCTAAGAGGTTAAGGTCGTTAGTAAACCCTACTATAATAAGGCCTATATAACCTTATAGTAGTGTATATAAGCTAGTAGTATAAAGGAGAAAGAGGATAAGAGAGAAGGGCGAACCTTATAGTACCTTTATAGTAACTTCTTAGGGCGGTGCCGCCTCCTTATTAAAGAAGAGACTAGCCGTCTAATTAGTAAAGAAGCTACATACTTACTGTACAGCCTATATAAAGAACTTTAAGTACTAGAGAGTATAAAGAAGGCGTATATAGTTTACTATATTAAAGGCGCCTTTAATGTCGAGTTAAAAGAAGGACGCTATAGCTTTATAGCTCTACGCTATATATATAGTGTCGACTACTATTTTAACTATAAGGTCTATTAAGTACTATAGCTAGTTCCTTATCTACATTTCTAGGAGAAGCCCTTACGACTCTATAGCTTTAGTAAAGCGCTAGCTAATTACTAACTTAATTACTTTACTTATTGTGTTTAAGAGTAATATTAGCCTATAAGCCCTAGTAGTTTGTTACTACTTAAGGGTCTTTCTAGGCTTACGTAGTACTACTACCTTTACTACTTTAAACTACGCGAGAAAGTACCTTAGCTAAAGGCTTGTAGTTACTATTACTATAAGGAGCTTAGCTAAGAGGCGCCTACATGCCTTAAAGAAGCTAGTAAGTAGTAGGTTAAGGCCTAGTACCTTTTAGGCACCTGTCTTTTAGAGAACGTTAGTAATATCTACCTTTATTATAGCGTCGTTAATAGTAAACTGTTAGTACTACTTGTCTTAAAGGTCTAAAACAACGTTACTAAGATTAGCTATTAATTCTAGAAAGAACTGTCGGCCTAACACTATTACTTTATTATAGTAGCTTATAGCTAGTACCTCTTTATTAACGCCTTAAAGAGGCAGGAGTAAGGCCGGTTCTAAGGGCATATAGCTATAGAGCCTAGCCTACCTCTTAAGACTCTATAGTTTCTATTAGTCCTTTAAGGTAGTAGTAAGGGCGCTACGCTAGCTCCTAGTTTTTACGTCTTATATTATATAGAGTTAATAGGTACTAGCCTACTAGAGGTCGTGCTAGTAGAGCTTAGTTAGGGCGGCAACGTATTAATAGCGCGCTACCCGTACTTACTAGACGGCCTTAAAGACCTCGCTGTTCTACTAGGGCTTAGTACGCCCTTAGTTAACCTTCTTCCTTAAGGTAGATATGTCTATAATACGTATAAGCTAGAAGGTAAGCGAGTTAACTACCTTATCGACCTTATAAGGTGTGTCTAGCGGCTCTAAGAAGAAGTAGAGCCTCTTAGCCTTAATCGTTACTAGTTCTCTGTCTATTAGGGTCTAGCTCTATCCTAGTGCCTTTATAGCTCTCTCTTAGTAATCCCTTACTTAGGTAATAACCTTAATTAGCTAAGTATAGTAGTTAGATCCCTTATACCTTAGGTTACCTTAATAAGTATACTAGAGTATCGCTATAACCTATACGTAGTTAATCGTTAAGTCTTGTTCGTTATATCGCTACTATATTAGCTCTCTCTAAGGTGTACGTAACGAGAGCTACTACCTATAGGCTAGACAGAGAAGGGTCTCTAATTTAGGGGTAGTCTTACTAGCTCTGTCTTAGAGTAAGTAATAAAGGTTTATGTTACTTATAACGATCTATAGCCCCTCTAGGTCTTCTCTAGTAAGCCGCTAGAGAGGACTAGCCTAGCCTAAAGAGTTAGAAATTAGTAAGTATATTAACTAGACAGTAACTCCTTATAAAGTAACGTAACACTAGTTAACGCCTGTCTCTACTACTTAGGTAAGAGGTAGGTACTACTTATAGATGTAGATAGCTACTCTACCTTTGCCTTTATAGACCCGCTAGTACTTTACCTACACTAGGTAGTAGACTGTCTTTATCTAAGTGTTATACTATAGCTCTTAAATTACTATAACGTCGACTTTACGGCTATTATAAAGTACTATTAAGGTAAGGCCGTTCCTTCTTATAGTGTTCTAGTATACTATTATTAATTTTATTACTAAGAGTCTAGGATCTACGATTCTTACGTTACAAAAGAGTCGCTAGACCCCTAGTTAGCCCCTTAGCTTAACATCTCTATAATGTCGTGGCTCTAGACTATTATAGTGTCTAGTACTCTAATAAAAGGGCGCCCTTACCTTACTAGAGTCTTTACTATAGGCTTCTTACTATTACCTGTCTGTAGTCTCTTATATACTACAATCTAGTAGCTATTGTCGCTATCTTATAAGGACACTAGCGTAACGCTAGGTACCCGGCTAGTAAAGCTACTCTTAGACACCTTAAACTATCTAGGCCTTTATTAATATACGGTATATACTTACTCCTTTACCTTAAGGGCCTTAAGACACTAATAGTCCTATACTACGTATAGTCTACTATAGTTAATGTATCTCTTTCTACTATTAAGTTAGGGGTACTCCTCTTTACCCTAAGGGTACGCCGCTCTTATATAGTAGCTATACTAGGCCTAGTTCTTATAGAACCGCCTAATGTAGCTAAACTAGTAGTACTAGAAGTATCTTTAGATTTGTAGGTCGGCCGAATATAGCTTATAGTTAAAGATCTAGGCTTACTAGATTAACCCTTATTCGTATAGGCGCGTCGCTACGTTAGCGCTCTAAAGGTATAGTACTACTATTATAAACTTTACTATAAGGGCCCTAACAGGTTTAACTTTAACCTTTGTAATATACGGCACGTAGGCTTAGATCTCTACTAGTAACGCTCTTAGCTCTACCTATATAATCCGTTCTACTAGTAGGCCCTTTACGATTATAGCGAACTTACTCTTATAAAGCTAGGCTATAGGCCTAAACGCCCTCTATACCTAGCCCTAATCTTAGATTACGTTCTTTAGTATAGCCTCTTTAAACGTAAAGATAGTGTTACTACTAGGTAGCCGGCAGGTTGCTACTACCTTAGCGCCCCTTATCACTATATTAGCTACTATTACTACTTTAATAGCGCTATAATATACTAGGTCTTTTATCTGTCTGTCTGCCTTAATCCTTAGCTCTTTAATCCGCCTCTTTAGTATAACCTAGACTCTTATTAGGCGCTAGCTTACTACTAACGTATAGGTAGCCTAAGGGGCTACTGTCGTTACTAGCCTCTAGAAGGCCTCTTCTAACATTGTTCTTAGTTATCTAATCGTTACTAGGTTATCGTTAGAAAAGGACCTAAGGGTACGTAAGGAGGTCGTTGTGTTCGTAGCTCTTATCTCTACTACTATTGTTGTTATAGTAATAAGGTCGCGTAAGAGACACGATACCTCCTTCTCTTTACTTAGTATTATATAGGCTTTAATCCTTTATATGATTTTCTTTGTCTTATTGTCTCTATTACTCTTACTACTCTCTAGCTCTTTACTATAGCTCTTAGTTAGGGTATAAGAGTACTAGCTCCTACCTACAAGTAGGTAGTGTTAGCTCTATTTAAGTCTAGCACACCTACTATCCGTTACTATAGGCTCGCCTATAGTTTACTAGTACTCTAGAGGGTATCTAAAGGTACTAATTTTGATTCTATCGTTTATTTTCGAGTTTTTAGGGTAGTAAGGGGCGTAGACGACCGTTCCTTACTTTAGTTTATAATAATAGTACTAAGATTATACTTTAGCTATACCTTAAATTCTAAGTCTAAAAAAGTATAATAAAAGCCTTATAAGAATCTATAAAGGCTATATTAACTACTAAGTTTTCTTATAAGTATTTAATCTATTATACTAATCTTTATACTAATTAAATAATATATAGTAACAAATCTTACTACTATTTATACTAAATAAGTTATAATTTAGTAAAAGAATATAAAGCTTATATAGTCTATATATAATAGAATACTTAAGTATACTATACTAAGAGGTAAAAGGCTATAAGGCTAAATTTAAAATAGAGTAGTAATAAGATTATAAGTTATAAGGTACGATTCTATTATATATTTTTTATAAATTCCTAAATATAATCTATTAAATAACGCCTTATAAAGTAATTAGTATAAAGATTAGTATAAACTATAATTATTATACTACTACGTAATATTATTAAGGCTTAAATTACGTGTTAAGGTCTTAGTAACCTATAGGTTAGGTTATAGGTTAGGGCCTACCTACTAGTCTAAACCTACCTTATAGGTTAGATCCTTATAGGTTAGGTCCTACCTATAGAAACCTAACCTATAGGGACCTATTGCGCAGCCTAAACAGATGTTAATAAAGGATAAAGGTCTAAGACAACGAATTGTGAACTTAAGAGAAATAGACCAGCTTTTGTAGTAAGTTAGGGGTGAGTTAACGGTGAGTACTCCTGTCTCTATATCCTCTTACGCCGTCAACGTCAGCAGCACCAGGGATTAGTAGTTAGTGATTTAGGGAACATGATCTGTTATCCGGTAGGTAGGTGATCACCCAGATCGACAACTAGCGACATGGCAAGCCGAGAGAATTCCAGGAGACACCAAGAGTCAATATGGAAATAAGTCGAGGCATTTGCCAGCAATCTATTACTCTATATATGTATGTCTCGCATACATACTTGACACTCTGAGTTGCATCCATCGTAGTTGAACACTTTCAAGAATCGCGAACCGCTCATGTTCAGGTCCTCAGGATAGGACAGGAAAATAGACTTCAGTGGAAGACAGGTATTACCATGGCACCTGTCTACCATCCCACACCCAGAGCTTTCCGCCATGAGTCTCTCTTGTGGCAGCATCGATAACCTTGATCAGTCCCGCAGCGCTTTCTTCAACGGTAATAGCAGCCTTTTCAACCCCAAAAGCTTTTGCGCCGTCGTTGCCAAGGTCTGTCTGAACCCAGCTATAAGAAAGTCAGTGACAGCTCATGTTAAGACTTCAGGGACTTTTTCGGAATTACCCTGGATCAATAGGAAACGCGGTAAGCTCAGGCTCCTCAATGTGGATTGCCTTGGTAAGCCAGTGGAGGACAACTTTCGTTGGTGCATAGGCAGCGTTTTGCATAGGAATCATGTCCCTACAGAAGTCAATGCAAGGGGTATATTGATGGTCACAGAACAGATGTCACTCACTAGATCACGAAGTTAGCAAACAGTGACATCCCAAATAGGTATTTCAGGTATGTTGAAGCACACTTACCGTGAGGAATGCGGCAGATGAGCCTATGCTCACCCATTTAGGATTTTTGGACTTCTTTAGCAAGGGTAAAGTAGCTTGGTAGAGATGGATTACGCCGTAGGTGTTGGTAACGGTATGCTTTTGCATATCCTCGACCTTGACCTCAGAAACCTTGGGCCAAATGAAGGCAATCCCAGCATTAGCAATAAGGATATCAATATGATCGATGCCATGGGATGCAAGCTCCTTTACAGCGTCGGCAGGGTCAGTGGGGACGGTGGCATCGATCTTGATGAGGAGAAGAGAGGTGCCTTCAGCCTTGGGCAAATCGGCGAGAGCTTTGGATGTTGGATGATTGGGGTCGCGATTGGCGGCGATGATCGTGTGGTTTGGTTTGGCGAGGTAGAGCTCGAGGAGGCCCCTGCCAATGCCTCTGTTGGTGCCGGTGATCAGCACGATAGTTGGTGCCATAACGTGCTGGAATCGTAAAGAGCGGGAGGTAGAAAACAGAGGTGGTGTTGAGGAATGGTGTTCTTTATTATTGGGAAGCCAGTTACCCAATCCTCGAGAGAGCGGCGTATCTATAGCTAAGATACCTCAAAGCGCCGCATCCTGCTTGGTCATCAATCAAGTGCAGATTACGAGAAGCCGATTCATGGGTATACAAACGGCTTATTAATTGTACCCCAGGCGCATCTTCTTTCTTCATAAAACTAACTGTATTCGTAATGATGTCAGCGAGGGCGAGGTCAGATATTTCAGATAAAGGAGCTCACCGCCTACGAATAAAGCTAGTATTACCGAGAGAGCCGCCGATGGATCGAGTGGGGGGCAGCGATGTATATAGCTAATAGCTAGCTCTTGGCGGGGACTTTCTGGAGGGTGGGGGACTAATTAACCTTAACCAACGCGGGGTTCTAAAAGACTGATGAGAGTCAACAACGAAGTCTGGTATAGAGGATCAAGAGGATCTTGGTTGTAAGAATGAAATACCTTTGCCCGTTTTTGTTGCACAACCCCGGTTCCCTCGGAGAGTGCCATCCTGACATCCTGTAAGTGAGTCGAGGTTAGGGTTACGCGGAAGGGTATCGTGTCATCCCCATGATCCCTGTCCCGTCTTCCGAAGTTTCGAGACATGTAACCCCGGCGGGTGGCGGAGATTGCCCAGAAGAACCTAATGATATGTTCTAAGCTCGTAAGCTTCGAGTCGCGCAACTCGTGAAGGCAGCTAGATTAGCGGCCATCATGCAATCTTTCATCCTATCCTTGCGGCCCGTCTTGGCTCTACGGCTCGCAAGCCGAGCCGGACAGCCACCTTATAGGGCAACCCCTCGTTTCTCAACTCATCGTTGACCAAGGACAACGAGGAAGAGAGGGGACAACCGGGCTCGGTCAAAGCGTTAGTGATGAACTCTTCCTTTGTCATCTTCCCGCTATCCACGAGCGCTTTGTCCTTTTCTCTCTTCTCTAAGGCTTTATCGTATTCATCCAACTCGCTCATCTTCCGCGCAGCAAATGCATCAAGCTCTTCTGCATTGTCAAATTCCTTCTCACGCTTCGCCCACTCAGTAGCTCCTAAATGTCGGCGTAGCTGCGTAAAAGGGAAGCTGCGATGATCGTTGAAACCGGATGAGAGGAGCATGTGTAGCCACATTGCCCCGGAGGCTTGCGACCACTTGACGAGACTAGAGAGCTCTTTCTCTTTGTGCCCTGGCATTTTTGCCTCTTCCTCCTCTAGGATACGTATGAAAATCTCTAGACACTTGGAGTACCGGGCGGCAATCTTGGGCGGCGGCTCGTCGCCCTTACAGTCCCACGCGCTGTTGACAGGTCTGTCTTGGAGAAGCCACCACGGTGCCGAGCCAAACAACTGGGCGGGTCCGATGTAAGACCACTCGAGGTCCACTACTCCGACGACAGTGAGGTCTTCCCTGCCTCGGACTATCAGATTCGCCAAGCCGAGATCGTCGCAAATCAGCTTAAACTTGCAACGGTCATACTTCGCGTTGACCAGGTCACTTATCAGGGATTTTAGGACCTTGAACGCCACATATTTGTTCTTAGCATCATATAAACCAACAGTCGAGTTCGGCTGGTGAACGAGCTGCTCCCAGTCTTGCCCGACGATATATTGAAAATACTCGGTCGTCGTCGCAAACCCATGGCTTCGGTCACCTAAATATCATTTTCCTAGTCAACAAACTCGATCAGAGCTTTAGGGAAGAGAAGATTAAAAAAAAGTAACAAGCCGTACCGAAGGTGTCAACTCCTCCATTTTGTAGGATGCTATGTGCCTTGAATGTTAGCGGCCGTCTCGATGTAGGGCTTTGGGCTTTAGCCCTTGGCGACGGCAGGCTGCCGATCCGGTCAAAATCGAGCTTGAAGAGCTGAAGCAGAAAATTCGCCAACTGCCTGTAGATAACTTCAATATCACTATCGCTGATGTCCTCCCTCATGAGTCTAGTAGAGCGCTCGGCGTTAGGATCCTGGAGAAGGTCGCTAAGGCTCACACCGTCAATAAAGTCCATCATGATGAACGGACCTAGACCAAGTAGGTTGCTAGTAGCGGGACCCCACGCGTGGACTCTTGGAACAGGAATGGTAGTCCTGTCGTGGATGAGACCTAGGGCGGTCACCTCCATAGAAACCTTCTCGTCGGCGTAGTCATCACAGACCATCCCTACACGAGGGAAACGAACCATCCAGGCAGTGCTGTCGCTAAAGACCATCTTCATGCCGGCATTAAATGCGCCATGGTGAAATGTACCGTCGAGTTGGCAGGGAAGCTTGTCGGGATGGAAAGTCGACACCCACTGGCAGAGACGGCCCGTTCTGTGAGTCTCGTTCACCTTGTCGACCCAAAGTTGGCCCTGCACCTCGTGGACGATATCGATAAGCGCGTTGGTGTCCATAACGTCAGAGAGTGCCTCAATGGTTGAGGTCGAGCACTGGGGAGAACACGACTGGTGAGTGAGTGAGCGGATCGGGACTCGGGAGACGCGCGGCTAAGATGGGCCTCTAGGTAAGATGCGGTTGAGTCGTGCACGGGCTTTGGGTGCCTTAGGCGTCGCAGCAACCATTTTTTTGGTGCGCAGCATCCATAAAATACTACCTACAGGCACACGGTGTCTACACGGGATCGATTATTTGGTCAACTTTTTGGCACGACTTTTGAAAGCCTACGGTCACTCACAACGGGTCGAATCGCAGTGGTTAAGCAGAATCTCGCTACGAACCTCGTAGCGTCTCGGTAAAAAGTTGACCAAATAGTCGAGTCCCACCTACACCTACATATACACCTATTTCTAAATAAGGCCTTTGCAAATAAATATAGTATAATCGAGGTGGTGATTATGTCTGGCGCTTTTACGAGAGAAATACTCGATAGAAGTAGCCTCCTGAAAATGCGAGCAAAGATCAAACTCGGTCGAGGCAAAGGGACCAAGAAGCGTAGGGTCGCCAAAGCACCCCCCCTTCCCCACCCCCCCCGGGGGCGCGGAGCAGGCCTCCCCTGATCTGCAAAGTGAAAATCAGAGACAATAAAGATAGAAATGACTGGTGGGAAGGAAAGTTGTGGACGCGACGGTAGAGAGAGCCTTCTGGCCTTCTAGCTAGGTACGGACCACACGCGAGGCCAGCAAATCGGTCTCAAAGGGTTGTACGCAGGTAGGCCATGTCTAGGCGGAGGCGCCGCCCTTCTGTCATTGATAACCGTCAGCGCATAGCAGGTCCGGGGGGTTTCAGCTTCTTGGAAGGTTGGCGGGTTAGGGGTTAAGCACGAACAGCAGCGTCTGCCTTCTCCTTAGCGGCCTTCTCTTCGGCCTCGCGTTTCTCTCGCTCCTTTTTGTTTCTGCGACGTTTCTCAACAGAAGAGTGGGCGGTGTCAACCATCTGTCCGACGGCGGCGCCCCCGGAGCTAATGAGAGCGTCGTTGACTTCCCTTCGAGCGTTTGGATCGATGCCAGACATCGTTGGGTAGACGTAGAATTGTGAGTTGTGAGTTGTGAGTTCGTTGTCGCAAACTTGAGCTAAGGTGAGTGAGTGTATAGAGATTGCGATAGTAGTGATGAGGTTTGAGTCTTCTCAATTGTCAAAAGGCGCCTCTTGAGCTGTCGGACATATTTATACTTCACGACGCTGCTTCACTATGCCATGATTGGCGCCACGTCTCCCCCTCGCCTCTCCCCAGAAGTCCAAATGAGCGACCCCCGCTCACACGTCTCCGCGCCGCGCCGGCTGGTTCTAGGCGCGGCAAAAGGCCTTGGCTTTTGTACATGGGGTGATAGCAAGTTTCGACTCTCGAGTGTTTTCCTTGCTTGATGTACCTGGCCCGTATAGGAACACCGTGCCGTGGTTTCCCCTGTATTACCTCGGATAGGTATTCACTTGATACGGCGTCAGTTCGGCGTTGGTACACTACCTTAGTCAGAACAACGGATTATATGAAGCTTAGAACAGGCAAGACAACGGATTCATCTGGAATATTCAAGTACTGCCTCTGAAAATGAGTGACTATAGTGGACATGAAGCAAAACAATAGAAAAGGAATCAAGTCCGTTATTGGTGTGGTGGAAGCCCATCAGTACCATTACCATCGATCTGTGGCTTGCATCACACAATTATCTAAGCGATGCTTCCCCTGCTCCTAGCAGTGGTTCTCCGCATGTGCGACTTATTCTCTGTGGCAGCAAAAGTGACTTCATCTTCGATCATATCAACGGTTGTCGTGAGCTTTATATATCCCTCGTCATCGAGGGCGTGCAAAGCTTCTTTGACCCACACCCGACAGGTAATGGCACCGTACCGACTCGACGGTGCAACAGGAACTGCATCTAACCGTTCTGCCAGCGCTTCATGCAGCAGAGGCTCCATCACAGCTATTTTCATCCCAACCAGTAGGGTGAGTGAGCTGGGGACGTTGTAGCTTTTCTTGCGTTGATACTCCCAGTTATAGCCCGTTTGGGGGCCGTTAACCACATGAAATATAATGCCCTCTTTCGAAGCCGTTGCGAGATAGAGGCCCCAGTGGAACTGTGATTCAGCCCCAATGTCTGAGAGGAGGATGTAAAGGCCGTTGACATCAAAAGAGATTAGGTTGGAAGGCATGGTTTTCTCGTGCTAGCGGGTGCAAGAGGAGTAGGATCCAACAATGAAACGGAGATTCGGGGAAGAAAAAGGTGGCAGCGTTGAGCAGGGATACATATATATGCTTGTAGGCTGCAGCGTTGTAGCAACGAAGGTTCGATAAAGTGTGGCTCGGAGAAAATATGAGTACAGCGGTGAAGATTGTGTGTCCAACTGATAGTATCTTGCTTCGAGGTCTCTTAGGAGCTATGAGGTACGTTACTTACCTATCTATATTGCCCTGAGCTGGGAAGATGACAAGCAGGTAGATATGATAAGCGCTCAACAACCCCATTGCAATATAATTTGGAAGTCGTGTTGGAATGGCATGTTTCAGTAGGTCGGACTCCTTCACAGAGTACACCTGGGATCTGGTCCCTGGCAGCCAAAATAACCGCCTAGAATTAGACGGCTGGGGAAACGATTTCATTCGCCATACCTTAATTCAAAGAGGGGCCGGCTCGCTTACCTAGCGCTCGGCTATCTGGGCGCTAATAGTTTAGATCTCGGCTGATATGATCGAGCTCATTATCACCATCCAACCCAACCTCTCCTTGTCCATCTCTCACCATCTCCCCTCTCTTCCCCACAGCGCTCTAACATTAGCATATGGCTACCGCCACGGCCGCGTTGGAACTCATCTCCTCGGCAAACCTGCGGCCAACTGAACACCAACTTCTGAAGCATTTCATCGAGGGTGCCGTCGACTCGGACCTCGCTGCACAGTACTTACTTTCGAGAATCAACCAGAGCGCCCAACATGACATAGAGACATGTCTGCGTAATTTCAAGCAGGACTGGAGAGATCTGGTGACGAGAGGTGAGTAGCCAAAGCATTGGCGGACCCACCTGCTTTCCCGACTGATGCCACAAAGCGACGACCTTTGACCCAATCCCTAAGCGCCTTGACAGTTTGGTCCGCCTGAGAGATGGCCCCAACTGCTTCATGACCAAGGGTCAACAGGGTGATTCTGTTGTGGCTTCTGAATCTGCGTATATACTTCCTCCCTCTATGTTTCGTAATCTCGAATCTGTCAGAGAGGTGAGCTACGCCGTCCAACAGCCTCAGGTGACTGATTTCTCACTAATTAAGTTAGGGTCGCTTGTTTTCTGTACTAGAGGCCTTTCTGTCTCCCTTTCACATCAGTCGACTGTGGGCTCTACTTTTGAACCAGACAGATGATGATCAAGCTTCTCTTCAGAATCTCTGGCTCCTCTCGCCAAGTATCCACAAGGCTTTTCGCGCGGGACATGTGGAGGTGAGGCTAAAATCTGAACTGAAGTCCGAACTACTCCACCGCAAAATTCCTGAATCCGAGGTAGACGAAACGACGGAGACATTCGAGGTGAGTAGTATACTTGTAGTAGATAGGAAGGCTAAAAGCGTTACTAAGAAGTTTCACCCATAGTATGTGCTGCGCAGGTTGTATCCCGAAGAAGCTTCGGGCCTTGATTTTGGAAACAGGACCAAATTTGAGGGCTCGCTATGGTTCTTTAACATTTCCACATCCGACGCCAAGGCCTTAAGTCTTCCAAGCCCCTTTCTTTTCAGGGTCCATCATCGATTCGCTACTGCTTTACATCTCTTTTCAATCGAGGATAAAATTGCCCGGGGCTGGCCACGGCCACAGAAAGGTGCGGGCAAAAAGAACCTTTTAATTAACTTGCAGTCTAACGTTTCGATACCTGCTTAGATTTTCTCGGCCCACGTGCCCGACAGGTTTTCTATCGCATGTGGCTTTACGTACCTATTTGGGCACGTATGCGGTGCTATAGCCTACTCGTACGAATTGGAAGGTGGCTTTACGGCCCTTCTACAGCGTCATGGGTTCAACGGGTCCCGTTTGGACTGGTCGTCAAGGACTGCGTCCGCGGATATAAGAATGAGCCAAATGCTCTCAGACTGGTTGAAAAGTATACATCTATTCCCGCGCCGCGCGTGATTGATGTCGGAGAGTACAAAGATGCCAAGTATCTCGTTATGACGCGCCTCCCCGGGCAGACACTGGAGGATGTCTTCCATCTAATGACATACGCCGAGCGTGATCGCTTTGCCGATGACCTAGGAGCGTACGCCGCACAGCTCCGAAGGATACCCAACACCACCCCATATCTCTTTTGCGACACGCTGGGGGGTCCCATTATTGACCATCGAATGCCAGACGGAGGCGGGGGGCCCTTCAACAACGAATCAGATTTCAACAACCATCTAACGAGCCATCTAAAATGCACCTCAGCCGAATTCTTCCCCGACCAGGCTCTGCGCCTGGATCACCGCTCATACTTCACGCACTCTGATTTTCACTGGACTAATCTGCTGGTGGAGAATGGTCGGCTGAGTGGCATCGTTGATTGGGAATGCGCGGGGTATCTGCCGGAGTACTGGGAATTCACGAAGGCGATTTGGACTACGCTAGGTAGTGCGGAAATGGGAGGCTTGTATCGTCGTGCATTGGGAAATTATTATGAACCGGAGCTCGAGGTGGAGAGGAAGCTGTGGAGGTATACTCCGTTTGGGGTGTGAATGGATTATGGAGCTCTGTTGGTAGTGAGGAAAGCGGGGAATTTATTTATGATATGATTGAGGCGTGATAACCAATGAAAGGATAATAACTACATGGCAACTGGTAATTAGAATTGCCAGTCCGGACTGATACAACTAGCTTGTTGAGTCGGACTTATTAAACGCTGCAAGAGATACCGCCTTGACACACCTTATACAGAGTTTTGAATTATACATGTCCCTTACTCTTATCGTAGCTCTAATTCCTCTCATTCGTACTAAGCTCAGAGGACGGTTAGAAACCGCCTGGGCGAAGAGCGAAATACATCATCGCATCAGTTCCCCCAAGGCACCCTCCTCCTCTGCCGCTATAGCTATTCCTACTCTTCTGCTCCACGAAGCCCGCCTCTTCTAAGGAGCCCATTCCCATACTGTCATACACGAATACTGACGCCCAAGGCCACGCAAACAGGTCAGTCCAACCCCGAGACTTTTAATCGTTCAGAAGAAGCCCTGCCAAACTCAGAGGACGCGTAGAAATCGCCTGGGCGAAGAGCGAAATACACCATCACACCAGTTTCCACAAGGCACCCTCCTCCTCTCCCGCTACAGCCATTCTCAATCTTCTCCTCAAACTCCTCCAGCAAGCCCACCTCTTCCAAGGAGCCCACTCACTTAGGAGCATAACAAGGGAGTATATCAACGATATTATCCCCACAGCAAGGCACCATCTGTTGCCCTCGTTGAGACCGAGAGCAACAACATCCACAACAGTTCCAACCAAACTCCAACTTTCCAGGTATATTGTGCCTTTTTCCAGCGCCGAGGTCTAAGATTGCCTGATGGGGTTGCAGAAAGTCGTTACCGATCAGCAGTTTTGGCCCAAGGTTGTCTGTGAGCCATGCTCCTTTCGGTCAGCTTCCCTGCGATAGCACGCTTGGTAGGCAAAGGTCGTTATGTTGAGGACAGTCCCGCTGCACAAGCAAACAAGCCCGTCAACTGTGTGGCCCTGACCGAAGGGTCGGCCAAACCGAATTGCCGCAGTAGGATTCCAAATGGTCAACGAGGTCACTACCACGATTAGCAATTTGAACCTCCTAGTAGCTGCCACAAAGAACCAACAACGCTAGAAAGTCAAGGACCATCGACAACGAAACGGCAGGGGTCATGTATATGTCGGCCATCGTGAGAAATTTTGAGGGCAGTGTTGTTGTTATTGTTTTTTGTTGTCATTGGGCTTGTGTCAAATGGGAGGAAAGGACTCGATTGAAGAGTGAAGAAGGTAAGTGTCTAGAAAAACTACCTTATATAGAAGGTAGGTAGCTATAGGGGACCCCTTAAGCGAGGGTATCATGTGACCTGATTGTTATATGACAGCTTGCTACTGTTGGGAGTGACAAGTTGAGTCGACTTGGAACGATGTAAGGATTCCCAATGTCCATTGTATTGTTCTTTCCTCCTAAGTATGAAGCAACTTCACAACTACAATGACGGTGTACCTTTACATTTTCATCTTCCCCCTTTCCCCCTTATACAAGCTCGCTTACGTTGCGACCACCACCTCGTCTTGTTACCTCGGCCAAAAGTGTAGATCTAAGTCGGATGTTTATATAGTGATTTAATGACAAACATAGGAGCAAAATACTTGTTGTACCAAAGAACGTGTACGTACAGAATTTGCATAGGCAATTGTATTTCGCTCTTACTGCGAGGGACTACACTTCATCTCGTTTGTAATACTTTGATCTTTGCAGGAGCTTGGTTAGCATGTAGCTATATATTTGATATATATAACTCCATAAAACGTTTAGTTATTAATTTAAATTGTGGCATACTATGTAGGTCTAGTCTATTGGCGGAACTTTTAGTGATCCAGAATGTGTGGCTTTTAGTAGGATATCCACGTCATGTCTGTAAATCTGTCTCCGACGTTAGCTTGGACTTCTTTCTTCCCTCTTGTATTTAATCTGGTCTGTGCCCCCGTTTAATCTTATATTCAGACAACATTACTTCGCGCAATCTTCAGGCACTACCATGTCTAAATCTTCTCTGCCATACCCAAATCTTCGTCAATGGCCCCACCCTATCTTCATTACCATTTACATACTCATGGCGCTAGTATACATCCCCGTATGCATCGGTCTTCTGTACTTCTTTTTGGGGCCCGGCGTCTTCGCACGACCAATAGAGATTGGGATCTCTTTTCAGTCGATAATCCTATTCATATCTATGATGGTACCTTTCCTCACTTCGATTGTATGCGGCTATAGGTCCAACAGTATTCAAGTTTCCAACAGGCAAGAAAAAGAAGAATGGGCTGTTGGTCTAGAATCAGCATTCAAGACTTTGGCGCAGACAGCAAGATTCCCTTTCGACATGAAACATCCTAATCCTGTGCATGCCGAAGAGCTCGCAAGATATGTCAAGATGGATTTTGCTCAATATCTCGCAAATCCATATCACCCAGACCCTTTTTGTCTGTCGTTGTTTTCAAGGAGAAGATACATTTTTACGATGATGTCGAGTCCACTGCTTGCGCTATGTTTTGCAACCATACCGTTCAAAGACTGGTCTAAGCACAGCGGCATCCCGTTTGAAGGACGCGAGGAGGCTTTTGTGCAAGGATTTGGCTGCTTTCTTGTAGTCGTTTGGTGTCACACGTTTTGGGAACCCATGTGGAAAATTGGATGGGTGCTGAAGATGGGTGGTATTGCCAGACAGATTCGGAGAGAATGTATAAAGAATGGCAGCGTTAAGGGGTCAGAAGAGGACGTTGAGAAATCTGGGATAAGCGTAGACCCTAAAGAGAGGCTTAAGTGGTGGATTCGAGAGAGTTGGAAAGCTTGTGAGGATGGGGACGACATTTGTGGTTGTTGGAAGCCCGACAGTTAAACGCAATAAGTCGACTTTCTAATCTGGCAAGGCATGTATTAATTCGCATTCAATTTCCCCTGACTGCCCTGGAAGAATACGTAGGAGACGAATTTCGCGATTCTCAGAATTCAATGGTTGGTAGAAGTCACGGGAGGTTCGTCGGAAAACACTCGTGAAGCCCTGTCGTATCTTGTTCCAGGTTTCTTCTATGCTAGGCAATAATCTTGTCTCGACTGGCTCCACGTCGAAAAACCAAGTGTATTGGGAGAATAATAGGACCACCACGGAAATGCACCCCAGATAAATGTAGCCCAAAACTGATATCGGCGGGTTGTCCATAAGCGAGGTAGGTAGGGGTTCGTTACTGCAAAGGTCATAACATGGAAAAGCAAGGTACTAGGACGTACGAAATATTGCTATAAGAGAATGATCATATGTTACTTAAGAGTCATAGATGAGAATGCAAAAGAAAGGAATGAAACATTTGTGAGAAGGTGAGGCTGAATGGGGCTGAGTCGCGAAGATTAAGATGATGAGGCTAGGTAGAATTGGACGCATTGGAATATTACCTACCTTACCAGGCACGGGCGTTGAGTTCTTCATTTCGGCTTAGCGTTTCGGTGACTAAGCCACCTCTTCTTTGCCGGATGTGAAGAGCTCTAAAGCTTGCAGCTAGAAGTACTACGCCAGGAATTAACGCCATGAGTGGAAATCAACCAGAAGATGCACCAAAGTATACGCGGCTTACTCGTGCGGACCGTGGACCTTCAACGCGATATCGAGGCAGTCTTGGCGGTCAAAATGCCCGTTGCGAGTCTTGATATCGAGAGGGCTGAGCAGCAGGACAATGCGGAGCAGGGGGTGGAGACCCTGGAGTCGGCCGCGAGTTCCATGGCTGGAGAGGAAGGGAGTTTTGTTTGAGCTTGAGGTTTGGACCGTTTGGTTTGGCTGGACGGCGAGACTGGTTTGGATATACGATTTGAAAGGCGCATTTCTTTTGACATGGCACGGTGTCCGGATAAAACACCAAACAAATTGCTGATTACAAAACACATAATGAAAGATTGGGTATGCACACAGAAACTAGGTACATACTTAGTCGCTACTTCTGATCCCACAATCCCCTTTAATGCTATGCTCGAAATGGCTTCCATGATCGCGGGACCCCTTGGCAGGCAAGAGCACAGTAAAGCTGTTCTTTATCGTCGCAGAGAAGGAAGCAGGAGAAGACTTCTTCTGATTAATTGGAATATTGGGGCGATATAGAGGAAGGGGAAGACATTCGACAGTGCTATATGAGCTGCTCGCAGAAGAATGGCGTCCTAGACTATATTATATGTATGACTTTCAAGACGGGACGTCGTCTTTGACTTCCACGTACATTGGGTTTTGACGAAGGTCAGGGTCTGATGCACAACAAGAGACATCAGGCAAGAGGAGCTGGCTGTTCAGAGGGAAAGAAGTAAGGAAGGAAGGATGAAGCATCAAGTATATCTTGCCGTGCCACTGGGCATATCCCAACAAACAGACAACACAAACAACACCTCATTGCTTTCTCACCTTCTACACAACTTACCCTCTCGTTCATCCTATCCTTATACGTTTATATCATTATAACGCTCGCCACCATGTCCATCGAAACCCCCTTCCCACACCTAACCTGTACCTCTGCAGCCCCCCTCCAGCGGGACGTCCGCCGCGTCTACCAACACATCTTCAAGTCCCGCCTCGCGGCCGGGACGGTACGGCCTGTCGTGGCTCCATACCATTATTACGGCATTGTCCTCCTCTTTGTCTACCTATGCATTCCACACACGAAGTCGCCGTTGGTGTACGCGGCTCGCTGGCCGGTGCTGGCTGCCATCGTGCATTTCCAGTGGAAGGAGCTATGCGAGACGAGTAGTGGGAGCACGGATATCGCGTACTATGCCGGTGTTGCGTCGGCGTGGCTGATGGTGCTGAGTGCGACGTGGTTGGTGTGGTGTAGACCGCAGTTTGAGGCGCGGAGGTTGAACAGGCGGAGAAGGACGGCGGTGGTAGTGGTGGGCGGGGCGGAGAAAGGAGCAGCGGAGGGCAAAGCGAGTGGGAATGCTGTGGCGGGAGACAAAGGTCTGAAGCAGCGGCGCGGGGTAACTGGGGAGTGGCTGGTGGTGGACAAGCCAGTATCGAACATGAAGAAGCCCGCGGAGGCAAACGACTCGAGAGACTTGAAGCGGCAGCAGGATAAGTTCGGGGACTACGAGTACTACTGGCAGCCATACCCAGATAACCTCCGCGAACGAATCCCCTGGGTCTTCGACCTGCTGTCGAACTACCGCGGCGTTGGTTGGAACTGGGCCATTACCAAGGTGCCCGATATCCCACTCCCTATCAAACAGCAGCTCGGAGATCCCATTGATCACAATCGACCAAAGGGAGGCTCCCACCGCTACTTTACCACCCGGCGCGCTCACTTCAAGCATCATTTCCCGCGCTTCATAGTTCTCTACCTCCTTCTCGATGCCAGCAAGACGATTGGGGCCAAAGACCCCTACTACGCCTTCGGACCAAACACCTACGCTCTCCCTCCGTATCTTCAAAATCTCTCTCCTCTGACGCTCTACGCCTACCGGTGGGCCCTGAGTTCCTTCGCTACTGTTGTCTCGCTGAACTTGCTCTTCAGCCTGGGGGCGCTGGTCGCGGTCGTTCTCCTCGGACCGCGAGTCCTAGGCCCGACATTCGAACCCTGGTGTTTCCCTGAAGCGTGGGGTTCACTCGCCGACATATACGACGGAGGCCTGGCCGGGTTCTGGGGCAGCTGGTGGCACCAATCCTTCCGCTTTGCCTTCTCCGCGCCGACCAATTTTCTGGCCCGTAAAGGGTACTTGGATCCACGGTCAACTACGACTCGGGTGCTGGCCCTCTTCGTGGGGTTTGGGCTCTCGGGCTTCGTGCACGCAGGGGGATCGCTGACCCAGCAGTCGCACACATATCCCTGGCACTCAGCGCTCTTCTTCCTGGTGCAGCCGCTCGGCATTCTGCTTGAGCAGGCTTTCTGCTCCCGCTTCCGATCGGGCATCGCGCGACTCCCGCGGTTCGTCCGGCGGGTAGGGAATGCGGCATACACGACGATATGGTTCCTGTGCACGGCGCCGATGCTCCAGAATGACAGTGCGCGCGGAGGCATGTTCCTCTTTGAGCCGCTCCCGCTGAGCCCCACCAAAGGCCTGGGCTTCGGGCTCCCGGACGAGGGGTGGTGGTACCTGGACTCGTACCTGAGCCGGGGGGAGATTCCGTTGTGGTATCAGGGGAAGCACTGGTGGCAGAGCGGGGTCAGGGTTGATGCCTTTACGACTCTATAAAGCAGATTACTGAGCGTGGTGTTGTTATTACTGGAGGAAGATTGATTACAGCCGCCTGACTGAGAGGGCCGTTGAGACTGGCGCAGAGCGACACACCTAGGTGATCAACTCAGAATAGAAATGAATCATTATTGTATACGGAGTCATCGTTCCTCGGCCCCCTAACGTGAGACTATCGAAAGAGAAAAGAAAAGAACAAGGGAAAAAGCTATTCTTGTCCCAGCCGATGGTTCCCCCGGCAAAGAGCAAGGAGCCTCGCTTCCGCCCCAGTCCAGTCCCCGCATTTCCGGAAAAAAGGCAGTTCGTAAGAGATGACTGTGTGGGCGGCTGACATGAAAAAAAAACTTGGGGGGAAGCCCTAAGCAAGATCGTGACGCGGGGTGCGCTGAGGCTCTGTGGATCTCGGATTCGGGGAGGGAGAGGCGGAGGGCGGCGGTGATCCTGGCGGGAATTGGGAAGGGCGGGGTTCGAGAGAGGGGAGGAGGGATGTTTCTGTTACGTATAGGTAGGATTGGTTCGTCTGCGGTGGATTGGAAGAGGAAAGAGAGGAAGAGAGGAGGGACAGATGGGAGAGAGAGAGTTCTTCCCTCAAACCCGAGGTTCTCAGCAGTGTGAATGAATCATTCAATGATGGGGGGAGCGCCATCATCGATAGTGCCATTCTGCCAGAGGCTGCCGTCACCACGTGTCGGGAGAAGTTCGTTAGTTGGTGGGTTAGTGAGTGAGGCGGAGAGGGGGCCACGCGGGAGAAAGCTTTTTACAGTGTTTTCCATCTTAGTTTTCTTGGTTTCCATCTCTTTGCGGTTTGGGTCTGGATTGCGGAATTGCTTTCTCATTTTTTCTATTTTTGTTTTTATTTTTTTCTTCTTTTTTATTTTTTTCATTTTATTTTCGATTCGAGTCTTGTTCTTTGATATATAAATCAGACTCGGACTGCTGGATTGATTGATTCTCTTCGTCACCGCAAATTCAATTCAATTCTTGCAAATTGCAACATCCGCCCGTCGTGTCACGTCTGCGCTGCGAGAAGACGCCCTTTTACCTAATATAAACCCATCGCCCCCTCTTCTTCCTCTACCCCTCACCAAATATCGAATCTCCCGCTCTTTTATTTATTACCTACAGACGGCTTTCGAGCATTTCGAACACTACATATCCATCCATCTATCTACAAAAAGACTGCGGATTCGGATTCAATTTCAATTGCATCTTGAAAAGTGAGGAGTTGCGAGAGAAAGAAAGATACATCAGCAGATACACAATGGCTGCTATTCCCCGCGAGATGACGGAGCGCGGTCGTCGCAGTTCCTCCTCTTCAAGACGAGTCAACACATCAGTTGGCCGTGGCGGCGCTGGTAAGCCCCCCTCATACAACCAAGCACCCAAACAAACAGCAGCAAGCTAACCCTCCCTTTCCTCCTCACAGGCAACATCTCCAGCAACACGCCCGATCTCGACCCCGCGTCGCTCACGACGCCCACGCTGAAAACCGACATCTTCACCACGGGCCGCGGCGGCAGCGGGAACATGGCCAAGAACTCGGACCCGGAGGCGACGCGGCGCGCGCAGGATATCGTGGCGCATCCGCGGCGCGAGAGCTCTGGCTCGGCGCACGTTGGGCGCGGGGGCGCCGCGAACGTGTTTCGTCTGGAGAAGAGCGGCGCGGGGGTCGATGAGAGCGCGGTTGAGGATGAGGAGGAGGGCTTAAGTGGCGGTGGGAAGGGGAGGGAGATGGGGTTGGCGGATCGGGGAAAGGAGTGGTTGAGCGGGGTTGTTGGAAGGAAGTGAGATGAGGTTTTTGTTTGCGGATCTGGTTTCGTTTTCGTGGATGGATGGGCTTTTCGATTTGGGATTTTGGGCGCCAGATGGGTCTGGAGTTAGGGAGGGAATGGGAAGATATCCGGCGTTGATTTCGGGTGGTGCTGTGCTGACTCTTTACTTTGGTTTCCCCTCACACACTTTGCTTTGAACTCTCTAGATTGCGATGCTCGTTACAAATACAAAAGAAAAGAACAGCGGTTCAGTATAGCCGGCTGCTTGCTGCTCATGCATGGCGCTGTATCGCATGGAGACTTCCTCGTGAGAGACATGCATGCATACATAGACAGGAAGAACGAAGCTCGGACATGACTCTGAGCGACCCCTAATGATAGTATGTATGTATGTCTTTGCAATGTAAGGTATGTCTTGGAGAGCCGTCGCCGTACTGGTCCAAGATGCGAATGAATGCAAAGCATGGTGTGCTGTTGGAGAGCCGACGCTGTGGTCAAACGGAGTAAGGTTAAAAGGTGAGATGACGCGATATCGACCCTAGGTTGATAGAGAGTTCTATCCATCTGCTGTACTGCACAATCAGTATATATCTTACCTATGCATAACCCCTATTGTGCGTCTTTGCGTCTTCAAGGTAGGTAGGTATGCACCCTCCTCGTGGTAGCCTTTCCTCGCACGAGTATCCGTGTACCTATATATGACTGAGGAGCAGAGAAGTTACCTAGACGTCAGATATCACTTTAGGACATGGATCTATTACCTGCAGGACCGTTTGTACCCAAGTCCCCTCCCCTACCTTACCTTACCTTACCTACTGTCACTAATTAGGGGCCGCGGGGTGACGATAAGGATTCAGACTAAAGTAGGGATGCTCTAATAATAAGGCGCATTATTGCATGGGCTGTCGTACCTTACCTTACACGACGGTAGGAGTGTATCGTGTATAGATACCTAGACCCTCGAGGATCAGCACTCAGCGATAAAAAGGGGGGGAGTTCTTCTTGATTTCTGGACTTGATAAGCGATCGCTTAATATTGCCTCGCTGTGTTTTCCCCCTGTATGTGCCCATGTCCCGATCTCTTACCTTATCGTGCCTCTGTGGAATACTGTGTCGCTATCTGATTTCTTGTTTGGTTCTTGTTTGATGGTTTTATTTCATTTTATTTTATTTCATGATTTTTGGCACTTTTGGTACTTTTGTTTCTATCCGACACATGGATACAGCTGTGTGACATGACATACCTGGTACATCCGAGTCAGTTCGGCACTTCAACCTAGCAGGGCGCTTAGATGCATCCGTGATGGTGTGGCGAAGGGTCATAATAGGGGTTTTTATATTTTATATAGGCAGGGAGGGGGATGAGATTAGATGGATAAATACGGATAATCATGAGAACCAATGTATAATCAGATGGTATATAATGCAATGCATCCAGAGGGTTGGTTGCACGGGATGCAGCTGTGGATGGATGGGTAAGGGATGTGCAGACAGATGATCCCTTGGCCGACACCTGCTGCGCGGGACACGGGACTGACCCTTGGGCCGGGACATGGCGTGTGTGTAACGCGGTCCGGCCGACAGGGACCGGGAGGGTTGTGTCTCTTGTTTCTCTTCCGTTTTTGATCCCGGGATTCGATTGTGTTTTATCTAATTCTATCTGATTTGATTTTATCTCATTTTATCCTATGAATCAAACCTGATCTATCTTATCTTCTCTCATGATTATTCTTATTAGTATCATTATTCCTTCACATACAACAGCAGGTACAAGTCCCGACCGAGGATAACAGCACGGGAGATCGTCATGCCGGGCCCTAACAGCTTCCAGCCAATCGGGGGCGGCCCTGGCTGTCGGGTGCGCCCCAAGGCCCGTGGGACACACCGCTGGAACGTTGGACGGCGAACGCTCCGGTCTCTGCGCTGCCGGCCTTTGAGAGAGTGTGTTCTCTGGAAGGTATGAAGTAAGGTAAGATAGCCTCAGCCCGTCCTTCTTTCTGCCTTCCGCCTTCCGCTCCTCCCTCTCCGCCCTCCGCTTGCCGCTGGCTGTTTTCCTCTTGTCCGCTGTGCGCTGTCCGCTGTCTGCTTCCCGCCGTCCCCCCACTCCTCAGGCAGCCAGGCAGAGACCAGCCCCGGTGACGAGGGTCTGGGTGGGAAGACCTAGCCACATCCGGCCTAGCGTCTCGTCTCCCCCCTTCCCCCCTCGGACCACTCATCACTCAACCTTCTCTCTCTCGTCTCTCTCGTCTCTCTCGCCTCTCCTCTCCCCTCCCCCCTCGCACCGCATCCATCTTCCAACTTCCAACTTCCAACTTCCAACTTCCAACGTGCCACTCCGTCTTGTCGTCGTATCATCCACCACCCCGCCGAACATCTCTCTTCTATCGGTCCCAGTACAAATCACTTCCCATCGCCTGGCCTCTCCTCGCCTCACCTCTCCTCTCCTCCCCGCCCCGCTCCCAAGACGTCCAGCTTCCGTCCAGCCATCGCAGATCCCGATATCCTGTCGAGGCCATTGAATTCTCCTCTCTTCTCAGCCCTGCTGTGCCCAGAGATCGAGCGTCCACCACGCCCACCGCGTCCCAGCGCTCCAGCTTAAGGCTCAAGCTCAATTGAGCTTGAAGCTGAAGCTCCAGAGCCAACTCGCCCTCCAGCTCCGCCTCTTCTTCCGCCTCACCAACCGCTGAACCGCGACCCTCACCACTCCACATCCTCCCCCTCGACACTCTCAAGATGAATACCGCCCACCCCCAGGTCTCCTCCTCGCCCCACGATCCCTATCGCACAACTCTCCCCCATCCCAACGATGCCATCTACCGACCCGTCCCGCCCGGCGCTCCGCCGCATCCTCACTCCATGCCCCTCCCGCCCTTCTACGGCGACGCATATGCCCCTCCGCCGAGCTCGAGGGCTCCCATCCCCGACCAGATGCAGCCGGCGGATGCGCTGGCTCCGCTGGCGCCCCTGACTCCAGGAGTCCCGCCGGCCGTTTCCGATCCGCTGCCGCGCTCCTGCATTGAGAATGGGAGGAAATATGAGTGAGTCTTGTCTCTCCCTCCGCCGGCGCATTGCCCTGGCTAACATCTTCCGTCAGGCTCTGTGTCGTGCAGCAACCGCGACGGGCTCGCATGTGTGGCTTTGGTGATAAGGTACGTCTGATGCCTCCCTTCCCAGGATTACCCATGCCTATCTGACGCGGGGAACTGAACTGCGCAGTCACTTGCCTGGGCCAACATTTACTAATGCTGCGTAGGATCGCCGCCCTATTACTCCCCCGCCGTGTGTCCGTCTCATCATCACGGACGTCGCTTCGGGAAAGGAGGTTGATTGCAAGTGGGTCTCATTTATCTCTCCAGAAGAATCCACCATCTAATATCTTTCTAGCGAAATCGAACACGGGATGTTCGTCCTCAATGTGGACCTGTGGTCGCAGGATGGAAACCGAGAGGTGAACCTCGTCCGACATTCTGCAACATCCCCATCCATCTCCTCCACAATTCCGGCCTCCTTCTCAGAAGTCTCCCAAGGTGCTGCGGCCTACACGAGTACTCTCAACGCCATCCGACGTGAACCTTCGAATCCTCAATTTAAATTCGAGCCTGGTGCCAACCAAGGTCCCTCATACCCAGGGTCGGCCTACAACCCATACCCGGGCCCGCCACAAGTCACCGCATACGCACAGCCACAAGGGCAGCCGTCCTACGGGGATGGACAGTACCACCAGGGCTATGCACCACCCACGAACGGAGGCTATGCTCCAAATGGTTATCAGGCTGGAGGTCCGGCCGTCCCAGTTTACTACGGAGCTGGAATCCATGCCCAAAGCCAAGGCGGGCCAACGCAATACGAGTACGTGTCTCCCACCCGCTCCAGAGTTATTAGGTCTGCGCTGACTTTCTACAGTGGTCGTCCTTTCACCCCTAATGACCCGGGAATCCAGCGGCTACCAATCAGCCAGACACAACCCAGTGGCATGTATACCCGAAACCTGATCGGTAGCCTCGCGGCTTCCGCTTTCAGGTTGACGGACCCCGATGACCGGATCGGAATCTGGTTTGTCCTGCAGGATCTTTCGGTTCGGACGGAAGGTCACTTCCGGTATGTTCTTCTTGTTCTTCTTTGGTAAAGGAGACTAACCTCCCCGCAGCCTCCGCTTCTCATTCGTCAACGTCGGTGCCACGTCAAACCCTGATACCCCAACCTCCAACTCCTCCGGAATCCAATCCAGCATGATCAACACGGGCAAAGCTCCAGTCCTCGCGGCCTGCTTCTCGGAGGTCTTTACGGTGTACTCGGCGAAGAAGTTCCCTGGTGTGGTTGAGAGCACGCACTTGAGCAAGTGTTTTGCCACTCAAGGGATCAAGATCCCTATCCGCAAGGATGGACCAGGTGGGAAAGGCAACAAGGATAGAGAAGAGTACGACGAGGATTAGCTGCATTGTGTGGTGCATTTCATATCCCGATATGATACCCGCATTGGTTCTGACTCATCGTTTGATGGTTGATCTAAGCATTGTTCTCTCTTCTCCTTAGCAGATTAATGTGTAACGCCATGGGAGGCGGTATCTGGTTGCGGTTTTGGTTACAACGGTGTTCTCCTGGCCTGCGTTTGCGTTGCTATTGGGTGGCAGAGTGCTCATCAAAAGATTTCCCCTCTCTGTTTTTCGCACCGGCGTTGGTGCACGGTGGCTCTCTGATATTATCTTGGGGGGTTGGTCCTGTTTCCCAGCTCGGATATCAACCCATCATTATCTACCTGTTATCAAGACGATGAAGGCGCTACCTTGTATGTAGCCAAGCTCTCGCTCTCCCCTCAGGAGGAAGAGCAGCTCGCGGATTACGGGATATACTGAATAGGATAGAGCTTGAATAGACATTCCTCACGCGCATTCGTTCACTGGTTTTATGCTTTCCATAGCGTCTTGCTCGCGAGACACGCTGTGAAGTGGCTATAGCTAAGTAACGCCTTCTTCTATTGGGGTATTTTTTATTATACATTTGGATAGAGCCGGGAAAATCATACGAGCTTCGTTATTTATCCCAACTCCTGCTCCTGCACTGCTTTCCCCGCACGTATATGTAGTAGTAGAATCTACAAAACCAAAAACACCATTCATCTACACCATAATCAATCCATCAATCAGTCAACACAACACAACACAATCAGCTCAAATAAAATCAAATCAAATCATTCATTTCACCCCAAAAATCACAACCCCTCCCCCTCTTCCCCCTCTGCACCATCCTCCCCATAATCACCCAACAACACATCTTCCTGCCCGATCGCCCCCAACCTGGCTCCACTCCCACTCCCACTCCCACCACCACCAGACTGCCTAACCCACTCCGTCTCGACCCTAAAAAAGATCCACAGCCACCTGCGTGCCACCTCCAATAACTCAAGCGCGAAGATGCCGCTCTCGAAATCAGCGACGTGCGCTAGATGCGGCGATAACTTGAGTGACCAGGAGAAGCGCAGTATGAAATCGACGAGGATGGCTAGGTAGTAAAGACCTGGTGCGCCGAATGCGAGGTATGGACGTAGGAGCCGGTGATGATGGGTGCGAGAGGAGGGCGCGGGCGAGAAGAGAGAGAGATCCCAGTCCCGAGCAACATCCCAGTAGAAACTGAACAGGCTGTTGAATAGCACGGCGCAGAGCCAGCAGCGGTACAGCGTCGTGGGGGCGATGCCGTGGGCGTGCTCGGGCCCGAGATCGCGCTGCAGCGCAGAGAATACGATTACCGGGAATGCGCTGAGGTACTTGGCGGCGTTGGCCAGGTGCTGGTATCCGTACCCCGAGGCTGGCGGGGTGGTGCGCGAGGATAACGACGAGGAGGAGGATAGGGAGGCGCGCACGCGCAGGTATTCGGTCATGCATTGGCGGAAGCGGATCAGTGACGGGGCCGCGATGAGGAGCGGCACGAGGTAGATCCCGCCGCACGCGCGATCGGGACGCGCGGTGGCGCTGCCATCGCGCCGGAAGAACATGCAGAGGGCGACGAAGAGGTCGGCGATGACTTTGGCGTAGGAGGTCAGGACATCGGCCAGGAGGATGTCGCCGAATTTGCCATCGTGCGCGAGGGCGAGGCCGCCGAGGCTGACGCGTTTCAGGGTGTGCAAGAAGCGGCGCCGGCCGGAGGGCGAGAAGCGCGGGACCGGGAGGAAGAATATGAAGAGGATATAGACGAGGAGGGTTATAGGGAGGAAGTCGTAGTAGATGACGAGAGAGGGCGAGCGGTGGGAGAGCGCCCAGAAAAGGAGGAGAGAGATCGTGAAGGGGAGGGTGAGGATCAGCGCGAGGCGGTAGGTCGTCAGGTAATGGGGAGGTTCGGTGCGTTGAAGGCGCGGGGGATAGTGAATTAATTGGGGGACATCCTATGGTTTGTGTCAGTTGTGTTGTTGAGAGGGGGAGAAAAGGGGGGAGTACGATTTTCGCTTTGGACAGATAATGCAGATTTGCGCCCCAGGCCCAGACTCCTGCTCAAGTATCAGCAACTGGATATCAATGCGTGCCAGAGTAGCAGAGAAGCGAGGAGGAAGACATACCAAGTACAACGAGCAATGCAACACGGTATGGCAAAGGGAGGGTAAGGCTAAAGGAGTCGAGTTGGGGCTCCACCGCCGGGTCGCCGTCCATCGTTATCGCAAATGACCGTTGGAGCTATGTCGTCGCATCGAGGACAGGAGCAGCTTCGGAGCAGCTGAAAGAGTGACTAAGGTTAGGAAACAGAGGACGTTGCGCGGTTGAAGTGTCGCGTGCGAAGTGAAGTGGGTGAAGGGACATCAAAGTGAAAGATGAGAGGTTAAGAGGTACGTATCTGATAATTCCCATAGCACCAGCCACACCCAAGCCACACCCCTTGAGGCTGCCCCTCAGCCACGGCTCGGTCAGGATTAGCCGCACGCTAGCGGGTACTGCCGAGATGCGCGACGACGTCTGCGGAGAACGGAGAGGGAATCTGATTCTTCACCATTTCCCATTTACTAACGAGAGGTCCAACACAATGAAAAGTAATCAAGGACTCGACATCACGACTTTCTTCAGTGTAATCCACACCCCGTCTATTTCTCTATCGCACATGTATAAATAACAGCAGGCCATCATCCGGATATCTCAACCGGCATCCCACCCCTCTACCTCCTTCTCCCAATCCTCAGGCGCCTCCTCCGCCACCTCTTTCTTCTTGCTTAGCGCACTCTTCCCCAGGACTGTGAACCTGCTCTTGCTCCCCAGATTCTCTTTCACCGGGGCTCGGAAGCCTGAGCCCCCTCTTGCAACGTGATTCCAACCTCCACCAAGACTCTCATCCTCTCTCCTGATCACATTCAGACTTGCATCCAGTGTACAGAGTGTGACTGCCGAAGCAAGAGGATCCATGGCCGAGGTGACCTTCTTGCTTACTGCTGGTTTGAGAGCGGCGAGAGTTGTGTCGATTTTCTGATGCCAAGACGCTGAAGGCAGAGGTCTGAGGACTACATCTCCATACGGGAGGAATGAGATCTCAAACTCTATGCCTGATGAAGAAAATTCAGGCCGCAGAGCAGCGTTGAGCTCATCAATAGTGAGGCCGAATCTCGGATTGCTGAGTAAGAAGGCGTTGTATGGTTCCGCCGTCCGAACCAAACTTTTGCTTGAACTGGCACTGGCACTTGGCGCGGGTTCAGCAGGTTTGATTTTCACACATTGACCCAGCGTCTTCATTGGCGCCGAGACAAATCTTGGTGTCTTAAAGATAGAAACATGACGATGTGGTTCTGCATCCTGGCTTTCGGAATCCAGGCCAAAATCTTCAGCAAGGGAGTGCAGAAATGCTCGTTGCTCTGCTTTCATTGGTTTGAATCTTAACCTCTTCTCGTTTTCGTCAGCTGCGAAGACGCGGAACTCGCGCTCGTACTGCTGGCAGAATTTCGTGTTTCCACGGTACATCTCCAGCGTTTTAGTCGAATAGGGTATATGGTCGTCCATATGCGTGGCTGGATCGATATCTAGAGCTGCTGCTAGCCTGGCGTTGCGTTGGAGTTTGAGGCATTCATCGTTGCAATCCAGTGTCTTCTTCGAGTTTCCTTCGCTGATCTTTGAAGCTAAACATTTGACTGCCTGTTTCTGGTGTTGACATTCACAAGTAATGAATGTTTTGGCCTGACATGGGTTGACCTCCTTGCAAGGATATGGAGCGTGGCAAGGGTCAGAGCAGTCGTGCTCACAGACTGTTTTCTTGCGACCGCAGGGCTGGATGCAATGACTCGTGGCATCTTCGCATTGGCCTGGTCGATGGCATTGCTTCTGGCAGAAATGGATCCCACATTTCAATTTCTTGCCACATTCAAGCCCACACCTTACTTCTTTGAATGAGCAACGTTGATTTTTCAGCGTCCGTTTTCCGCAAATGCATTCCTTCTCTACAAGGAACGGACACGAAGGGCAAGGTTCGTCATCTTCGTGGCAGGTGTGATCAACAGGAGGATGCCCGCAATCTTGTTGTCGAGTGCACTTGTAGGTACACTTTGGTGGGCGAGTCCCGCACGGTTGGGGCGGATCGAGGCGGGTTCGACCGCAAGCACAGCTAATCTCATGGAAGATTGCTTCAAGACAACTTCGGCAAGGGCCTTTGTGGCAGAGATCGGTGCAGTTATGATTACCACACTTTAGAGGCTTCCCACATTCCCTCGTACAAATGTGCTCGGCTTCAATCTCGTCTACTACTGGTGGTGCGTTCAATGGACGGTGTTTGCGCTTCGAGGCTTGCCGCTCGCCTGCTTTCCTCTCTCCAGGACAGCATCGTTCTCCACATTCATGTCTGCCACAATTGAGTTGTGCTCGGCAGATCCGAGCACAGGTAGGAGGCTCCTCCATCCCTTGATGGCAAACGGAATTTGAGATAGTCCGTCCACAGCGACACGCAATCTGAACAGTTTGAAGGCATGGTGGACATTCACCTTCATGGCAGACCTGCTGACAAAGATGCCCGCAAACAAGTTGCTTTTGGCACTTCTCTCGACAGTGAGGTATTGGCGCGGAGCAATTCGGGCGTGGCTCAGGTATTAAGTCGGACAAGGGTGTCTTTCCACAAGGACAATGTGAAACGACGTCAGGTGAGAGAGGACAGTGTGCTGGTGTAGGATCTTGAACATGGCATGTACTTTCGCACATATGATCAGGATTCCCACAATCAAACAGCCTTCGACATAGCGCACCACAGTTGAAGGATCCAATCCAAGATTCCTTCTCCGATTGGCTCGGACGCTCATCATCACGATCTGAACATGGCAAAGACTTCTCGACTCTGCCACAATAACAGCGTGACTCGACCAAGACCTCGCAGCTTCCACATAGTCCCTCGTGACAACTCCGTTCGCATGTATGCTCGCCACAAGGAAGCACGTCCCCACATATCTGCCCACAGCTCCATCCACTATCATAATTCGTATCGAGACAAGGTCTTGCAGTTGTCTCCTTGCCACAAAAGCACGAGAGGGAAGGTCCCATGTGACGACAAGGTGGACAAGGGCCAGCATGGCAGATAAGATCACAAGGATGTGGACAATGACCCGCCCTCCTCTTCGAGCAAGTCTGGCCACAAGAATGAGGCGGCAACCCCGGGAGTGAGCGAGGCTCGATCTCCTTCTCACACCAACAGGTATAACGATCCGGCAGTTTCTCCTTGGGCAAATTGCACCCCGGACATCTCCACTGTCTCGGTGGAGGTAGCTCTTCGTTCTCAGCAGCTCGTTGCTGATGCGTAGAAACCTCATTCTTGGACCATCTCTTCACACAAGAAAGGTGTAAGACTGACCAGCAGGTCTTGCAAGTCCAGATCTTGGAATTTGGGAGCACTTCGTTAGTGCAGATGACGCATTCATATTGTCCGTTGGCAATATCTTCGTGTGTCCTTGTGGCGATATCTGGTGCTTGGGACTTTGACATTCGCCTTGTGCGAGGTGCTTGTGGAGGTCGGGCTCGTGGGGCAACAGGCTGGCCGGGAACGAACTCCGGAGCATCACCTGCGAGAGAGACTTCTGCCGATGGTGGTGCAGTTGCAGTGAGTTGGCCACCAAACGCTCTTTGTCCGTTCACCATCGGCTGTGCATGTGTTCCTCCTCTTCTCCCCCTTCTCACAAAGCCACCACCTCGCCCAGCGTTCCTGCCTCTGTTTGAATTCGAGGGCTCCATTGATGGCTGGTTTGGTGCTGTAGGGGGGTTTCTGGGTGTAGGCTGAGATCCTGACGAAGCATCTGAAGCACGGGGTGCACTGGGGGTTGTAGAGGTCTCGGCTCCTGCAGATCGAGGGCCTCCTCTTCTCGGTCCACGTCGTCGTCGTGGCGGTCGATTGGCGCCCTGAGGCGGTGGAGCTTCGGCGCTCAACATTGTAAAATAAAGCACGAGATTGAGCGCAGCTTAGTGACTGGGAAATTATGTGAATGTACGAAGTGAGCGTTCGTAGTAGCGAGTGGCGGGGTCTCTACTCTGCTTTTTCGCAAGTGTCTGCCGTGCCGAGGCAGAGACAAATCCGTCGTGGATAATAACTGAATAAAGCTATGAGGAGTGCGCCTTTCAAAATACGGCGTCTTCAAACAGAAAAGAAAAGAATTCGTAGGTAGAAGGCGGATTTTGTGGCGAAGTGCTAGACGTTCAGGAAGTTCATGGAGGAGTGGTGGGCAAGGCTGAAATATTGATAAGATGGCATTAATAAGCAGATGCCGCTACTATTCTTTGGGAAAGGTAGAAAGGGAGAAACATCGAAGAGTCACGGCTGAGATTACCGTAACTACCCATATGTTTTCGGATTAATAGGCGTATATCTATGAGATGATACAAGACTTTCTATGACGGATCGCAGTGTGTGTGTATCTGGAGTCGAGAACGCAGTGGCTGTAGAGCCACGACTGAAATGCCTTAATTCAACCAAGTATGCCCAGATTCCAGTATACCCGCTGGAGCGCAAATGCAACAATAATGCAACTACCCATAGCCGGCCAGTCCAGATGAGAAACCACATGGTATCAATGAAATCCAATTACAAGAAAAGCACGATCTCTCCTCTGTCATTCCTCTTCATCCTCAGACTCCTCCAGAGTTCCTTCTCTTCCTCAGCCTTGCTCAACCCAACCCCACTGGCATGACGCTCGCGGTGGTATCTCTTCAACGCCTTATTCATGCTCACGCCTCTCTCACTCTCGGGTCCCTTGTTAACAAAACTCAGCAACAACTCCGCTCGTGGTTGGTAGACGACCATCTGATTCTGAGCATCGGCATCTTCGCGCACGACCTCGCCGTTCATCGGTTGGTATTCAATCATTTTGCGCGAGGGGCGTTCCGAATCCTCGCGGTGACGGTGGTGCTTCTTGCGGCGGGGGCGGTCTTCGGAATGTTCGCGAGAGGAATTGGATGTGATGAGAGACATGATGTTGTTGCTAATACTATCGACACGGTTACGCCCGCGGTCTCGTTTCGAATGTTTGGTCTTCTTCAATGGACTTCCGGGTGACGCATCATGATCACCGCCAGAGTAGTCCGGGGAAGGCGGGAAGGCTGACGGTCGTGAAAGCAGGGCTTTAAGGCCACCCGTCAATCCTGAATGCAGAACAGGAGGGGCGTCGGTCATGACTTCGTCGGCGCGGCTGGAGAGTTCACGTGTGTCGACGTGTAGGCGCTTGCGCTTCTTATCCTTCTTCTCATCATGACCATGATCGCGGTCCTTCCTTTCTCGTCGTTCTCGATCTCGTTCAGATTTCGGTGCGGGTGTTTGGTAATGCTCGGTGGGGACGGGTCCGGATCCGTACTCAACCAGATTGGTAAGGCTCTCTCCTGCCCCGTTGGAGCGCATGTGGACGAGCTCTCGGCCCTGGTTTTCCTCTGGCGCATCTTCAATCATTTGCATCGGTTCTGGTGGAGGTAATTCTAGTCGAGAGGAGTTTGGAGTCTCGCCATCAACGAGGAAGTCAAAGACATTGACCGGATTTTGCGACATCTTGAAATCGGGAACCGCGGACGGAGGAGTTGGGGCCTCGGGCATAGGAGGATCCACGATGGTGATATGCGAATTGTGGTGGTGTTCATGCTGCTTGTCTTGGACGTTTGAGTTATGGGGCACGACAGCCTTTGAATTATTCTGCTTCTTCTTCTCCTTCTCGGGACGGTACAGGGCGCCTTGGTACTTCTGTGCTTCGCTGATGCAGCTCTACCAAGGGTTAGTAACTTAATCGACATGTTGCCAGGTAGCTAGATACATACCGTGTGGGAACGATAGTCAGTGCCCTGGAAATGCACCATGCAATCGAGGCAGGTGAACGATGCGCCGTAACATTGGTTGCGGTGTCCGTCGAGTTTCTTCTTCGTCAGGACGTCGCCGCATCCCTAGATAAGGGTCAGAAAGGGTCTCTGGGGATGGAGCCATGTTTGTCTCGAGGCGCCTAGACCAACATACCTCGCACGAAAAAGAGACCATTTGTGAGTCGCGTTGGCGGTAAATTTGTGGATTCCGGTTCTGATTGGGTCTGTCACTCGGATACTGAAAATTCGAGAAGTATCGTCGTGCTCTTGTTGTTCAGCGCGCGGGGAGGTGTAAGATTTTGGGATTTGAGTCTTCGTTTCGGATGGCACGAGGCGCTGGATGTATAGATGTAGGGGAAGTGTTCCAGGAGTTTCCCCTTCCTGCTCGTTTATTTATTTCTGGCTCAGGGATTTCTGACTCTGAGTACGGTTGCTGCGGAATGCAGGTTCGCGGCGTCTTACTGCATAAGCTGATCGGCGAAGGTGTGGCAGCTGTTTGGGTGTCTGGACTCTGGCTGTTGCGCTTGAGGCCCTGATGGCGGATGGCACGAGATCCAGATAGGGGGAGGGGTGGCCGCTCAGGGGGGAGAGTGAGGGGGGAGGGGGGCGGCTGGGAGACTGGGAGACTGGGAGCAATGTACCGTACAGTATCCTTTCCCCTGGGTGTGGGAGTCTGAGGAATGGTCCGGGAGGTAAATAGATAAATAAATAGAAAAAAATAAAGATTTAAACAAATCTTTGGGTGCCTTGGCGCCTGACTGTTGAGGCTCCAATTCTAAATCGCGACACCGAGTACAGAGGTACAGAGAAGATACGTGGGACTACTACATTCATTATCTTCGCCTTCAACACCTCAACTCAACTCCCCCAGAGACCCTCGAGGGACCCTTTTTTCCGTCGATGCACCAGCCGGAAGGCAGGACAAAGGTTCCCCTTACTCTGTAACGGTCTCCATTGTTTGGACGAATGATGCGCAAGTGAGACCCAACTCCTACCACACCAATCAGCAGTTGGGCCCCGAGACAACGCGCTCCTCCCAGCCAATACATACCAACCACCAACCACCCCCCCGAGAACTTCAATCTTTTTGTTCTTTGCTCACGCTCTCTCTCCATTTCCCCCCCGTGCTCTGTCGGGAATATGCCCGTGCAAGATTCTTCGAGCACTTATTTGGAGCAGATGACTGCTCTTTTCAGCTCGGCTGCCAGCTACATGCGTGTGCCTGTGCTTCTCTCTTCGGTACACCGTCTTCCCATTTTTCACTCCCCTTCCACTACTACGCGCGCATGTCGTCGTATTTGCCGTCGTACTTACAATGGCCCCAGGGCATCGCGGCTGTCCTAAGCTCGGTGCTGTATTTCAAGCAGAAGTGTGTAGCTCCCCCCAGTCAATTGTTTTCCTGAACCCCCACGCACACAGCTAACCGCTGCGCAGGACCCTGATCTACCCCTCGCACATCCCCAGCGGAGCCCGCACAGATGTCCCCCGGCCCTCCCACTTCGGCATCACAGATTTCGAAGAGTTGATGATCCCCACGCCTGACAATGAGAAGCTCTCCGCCTTCTTCATTCGCGCGCCCTATCTCCGATCCAGGAAAAATCTGACGATATTGATGTTTCATGGCAATGCCGGCAATATAGGACATCGGATTCCCATTGCACGTATGTTCGTGAACACTATGAGTTGTAATGTCTTTATGTTGGAGTATAGAGGGTATGGTCTGAGCACGGGCAGTCCGGATGAGGTGGGCTTGATGACCGATGCGCACACTGCATACGATTATTTACGGGAGAGAGCCGAGACCCGAGATCATGATATTGTCATATTTGGACAGAGCTTGGGAGGCGCCGTCGCAATACAGTTGGCTGCCAAAAAGCAGAATGACGAGAAGTTGGTTGGGCTAGTGCTGGAGAATACTTTTACGAGTATGAGGAAGTTGATCCCTTCGTACGTTCCCCGTCCATTGCCTCTCGAGAACTCCCAAGCTGATAGATTAAAGGATCATCCCACCAGCTAGATACCTCGCCCCTCTCTGCCATCAAGTCTGGGCATCTGATACTTTCCTACCCACAATCACTGAACTACCAATCCTCTTCCTTTCCGGCTTGAAGGACGAAATTGTCCCGTAAGAAACGATTTCCTTTAACCCCTCACTCCTGCCCATTCATGAATGATGACTTAATTTCCATCCACAAAACCTGAGTCCCTTCTGGGACCTGATTACTACTACTTTAGAATCTGTCTGACATCAACCCTCCATTTCCCTATCTTGCCTCCTTTAAGTGCTTCTATGCATTGTACTGACAAGACTGTCTACAGACCAAGCCACATGCTCCGACTCTTCGAGCTCTGCCAATCGCCCACAAAGACCTGGAAGCCTCTACCCGGAGGCGACCATAATTCCAGCGTGTTAGAAGCGGGATATTTCGAAGCAATTGCTGATTTCGTTGAGAATCTGGATACCAAGAGCGAGAAGGAGAAATTATAGACAGCGATGAAAATATAGAAAGGGGCGGAGCACTGGAGTTTTAGCATGGAGTTCGGAGCTTGAGCGTTAATGCATACTCATGATAGGAGTTGGGTAGCTTCTGGGGCGCGGTGGGAGGGGCTGAATACCGTTGGATACCAGTGACTATGGGTTGCGAGGAAGCATGCAAGATACCTTTCGAGACGACAAATTCTTTATGTACATTAATACAGTGGACTAGTGTAATCATATATAATTATGCCACTCAATATGTGTGGCTTGATATAATCTGAGTTTCGCCACCGGAAGATTCATTGCACGGCATGCTATGCTTTCACAGTTCACTTGGTAATTCTCACTTATACCTCCCGGATCTTATATGCACAAAAGAAAGAGTAAACATTTAATGCAGCCAACATATATATCTACACTACAGAGCGCCACCAGATTGGCCTGTCACGATCATCACTAGGGGATAGGACCCATGTGTGTTCCATATGGACCCTGCCCCTAATCAACATTCTTACTCCTCCAATCCCTCATCCCCCGTTTCCCCGTCTCACTCTGCATCTAAAAGGCCAACTCCTTCTTGATCTCCGCAATCGCCAATCCGGGGTTCAGCCCCTTGGGGCACGTCCGCGAGCAGTTCAGAATCGTGTGGCATCGGTACAAGCTCATGCTATTGTCCAACGCCGCCTTTCGCTCTTCCTTCTTCTCGTCACGCGAATCGGCAAGCCATCTGTAGCTCTGGAGCAGGATAGCGGGTCCGAGGTACTCCTCCGAGTTCCACCAGTAGCTGGGGCAGGAGGTTGAGCAGCAGGCGCAGAGAATGCACTCGTACAGTCCGTCCAGCTTGCGGCGGTCCTCCTTGCTTTGCAGGTATTCCTTTCCGTTAGGTGCGGGTGTGGAGTGTTGCAAGTATGGCTTGATCGATTTGTATTGCTTGTAGAACTGGGTGAGATCCGGAACGATGTCCTTCACGACGTAGGTGTGGGGGAGAGGGTAGATCTTCGTTTCTTGCGTGGTGTCGGTTGGGATACGGCCTTTTCGACAGCGTCATTAGCATTCGCCCCTCAACCATTGAGCGCATCACCACCAGAAAACGCATGTCCGGGTAAGCGTAGAAGAGGGACAAGGGACATACACAAGCAGGCCAGAGTGTTAGTGCCATTGATGTTCATCGCACAACTGCCACAGATACCCTCTCTGCAACTCCGTCTGAAGGTCAAGGTTGGGTCGAGCTCGTTCTTGATCCGGATCAGCGCATCCAGCACCATGGGACCGGTCTTGTTCAGGTCCAGGGTGTAGGTCTGCATATGCGGCTTGGAGGTAGGCTCATCGGGATTCCAGCGGTAGATGTGGAAGGTCTTGGTCCTGGGTTCTGGCTCGGCGGCTGGTGTGCTCACGCTCGCCATTGTTCGCATCTGGGTGCGGAAAGCTGGGCGGGCGGAGGCAAAAAGCCTGGAAGTGGTGCGTAGAGATGCCATGGCGGTGGAGTGGAGTTGATGTGATCAGATCAATTGAGTAGTGAAGAGGCAAGGCGTCTTAGAGCAGCTCAACTCAATCAAGAGAAATGAAGTTGTCGTCGTCGAAGTTGTCGATGGCAACCTCGGGAATAGCGCTAGCTTCAAAATGTCCAAGGTAGTAAACCCCGGGGCCAATCAGCAATGAGGAATTGTCAACTCGATGACCGCGGCCCGAAACATGCGGACGGAACAACTCGGAAGGCCTTCGTCACGTGGAAATATGTACATCGGTACTTCCACCTACCTCATACGTGATAAAGATATCGGTGCTTCACTGCGAGTCTCCGATCTGTAGAAGGTAACAGTCATTACCAAGGGATGTCTTCACCTTAATCAGGCTATTTGTATGTTAAGATTGGATAACAAAAGCACAAAACCCATCCATTCTAAAATGGCGTTGTTTGTAGGTAAGGTACGTAACGTCGATGATCCGAAGATTGTCTGAAGCCAGGTAATCGAGAATGGCTTCCTTCAACATTCTAGGCATTGGTATCTAATAATGGGATTCCATGCCAGAACAAAAGTTGCTGTATATAGTTATGTTTTCTATGGCCACAGCTTTCAACTTTAGCATAACGCCTGAACATATTCAAAGACCTTATTACCCAAATGTCTGAATGGCTCAAAGTCCATATATATGAAACCACAGACTATAGGGCAAATTCGGTTTCCAAACACCATACATGTATGTGCTAAGGGCCGAGGGTTCTATCAAACAAACAATTCATCTATCCTAGTACGAGTTTCAGTCTATATCAAGATCACCTTGAACACCCCCCCCCCCCCCCCCCCCACCCAACAACAACAACCAAAAAAAGCAACTTCTGGATTCCCAGAAAAACACATATAACCTTTGAGGGGTCATCCTCTACCTAGAGTTCTAGTTGAACTCAAACGACTTTATCAGTTCACCTAATACCATGAGTGATGTTGGCAACACGTAGGTATGTATGTACGGAGAAGTTATGGAAGGCAGGAAAGCTTTCACATGAATACTATAGTATTAGGGCCCCAAACCAAGGATTTTGTTTGACTTCTGCTTGATACTAGTGAGTTTCTACTTGAAACTTCCGCTCTGGCCCGCTAGCCCTGCTCCATAACTCTTTGCTTGTGAACGACATCGCCATTAATCCTAAGGGCACATGGAAGTATCATACGGTGCTTTCTGTAGATAAAACCAGGAATGGATGTAAGCACCTTATCTGCTGCGCCGTTCGTCGCCTCCTTAAGGTACTGTATGCCCGCTATATCCGAAATCTCATTATCCCTATTCATTCTATGCCCATTTTCGAAAATTATCCTATCGGCGTCTTGATCCCCGGAGGAAGGGCACGTCGTGACCTATTCCACCACTCTATCAATCCACTTCGCCATCTCAGCAACGAAGACCTGGAATCGTTGTGATCGTTGTGATCGTTGTGATCGTTGTGATCGTTGTGATCGTTGTGATCGTTGTGATCGTTGTGATCGTTGTGATCGTTGTGATCGTTGTGATCGTTGTGATCGTTGTGATCGTTGTGATCGTTGTGATCGTTCTTTGTTGTCGATATCCGTAATCAAAACATCATATATACCACGCGATTTATCTTCTTCTGCCTTTCTCTGAGTGAAATAGCGTAGCGGGCTGGGATTCGATGGAGAGAAGCGCTCAACGAGGGTCTTATAGCTCGGAGGCGGTTGGAGAGAGTGGGTACGGCGGGCTTGAATTTTGAGAAAAGCACTAGTGGGTGTCGAGAGATGGTACGAGACGGAAGGGATTTGTAGATGTACGTTTTGAAGATGGGAAGGGGCAATGGACGAGCTGCGGGGGTTAGGGATATCACACTGATACCCTAGGATTAATGAATGGAAGAAGTGACTGGAACAATAGAGCCGGCCAGCGAGGGAACACGTACAGGGTAACAGGAGGGACAGAAGGCAGAGAGGCACAGATATATTAGGACCGCAATATTAAACTTGATGCCAAATTATATAGCCGGAGATAGACATTCGAGAGCAACTTTGCTGCGTCTTCGCCAGACGATTGCCATTGATATGAGGAAGTGATTTCCTTGGAAGATGGCCCTGGCCTGGTCCACGTGCAACAATGTGACACTGTGACACTCGGAAGGTAGCCCAGAGAGTTGTGACTTGTACTGTACCATGTTCTCGGGAGCGGACAGATACGATACGATCATCTGTCTTCTATCTTGCCCTCTAATCGCGTTCCAGCCGTGATTTGACGATCACAGTGATGCGCTAGATCCTGGTGCTTGCTTGTTGGATCGGTGGATGGATAAAAAAACGTCTGTACTCATCTCCCCGGCTCCGGACTAACGGAATGATGCATATTTCAGACTTTCGATAGGAGAGAAATGCTTGCCGCCTTTTTTGTTTCTTTTGTATAACCCCTTTCCGTCTTTCTTTTTTTTTTCTCTTCCATCTTTTCTAGGCAATGTACGGTCCATACGTTGTGGCTTCCAATGCATGGTTTAAGCGCACAAAAAGAAGAAAGAACCTAGCCTCGGCCGGTTAAGTTCGAGAACAAATAATCAAAATCCCTCGAGTCCCATTTTTATTCGTTCTTGTTGAGTGTCACCTTCACGGCTTCAGGTATCCTCAACTTGCATACCTGGCCGTGCTGCGAAAGCATCGACACGTTTTGGACTGCGTTGATTGTAGACCTGTATATGTAAACGTTAGTAACGTAGGTAACCTGTATGTTTTATTGGGGGTGGGGGGAGGTTTCTTACGATGCTATCGAAGTGGGTTGTGATTTGTAAAATCTCTGGCCGGTTTGATGATTACGCTGTCGATGCTTGATAGATCGGTAGAGAGAGGGTGCCACTCATCGTGGAGTATTGAACCGGTAGAACTTCAACAGCTGGAAGAAGATGCGCTCAATCTCGTCAAGAGCCCTACGCTGTGTCAGGGCCCTGGACTTGCAGAAAGTCCCTCCCTCTTCACAAGCCCTATTATCGGATTAAGAATCTTCACATCCTTCGCTCCGACACACTTTATCCTAGCTTCAAGCCATTCAATAACATCATTGTATCTAGTCTGTCTCCTACCTAGCACATGTCGAAACGCGCTCATTGCTAACCTATCCAGGATTTTAGTTCTTGCTTCCATTTGCAACGACTTCTTCGTCGTAATCACATACCACTCAACTTGCACCTTGCTCACCGCACATTTGAACATCTCGTTCTGCTTTTTCCTCGTCTTGCTTTTGATCATAATGAAAGCTAAGTCGATGGTATCACGTATTGTTTCTGCGGAGTATCAATGTGAGCGTCGGTGTGCATGATATTCTGGAGGCATGACGACTACGTACTGATTACCAACCTCGTGCTAGGTTGTTTCTTAACAGGAAGACAACGAGCGTAGGACCATGTCTTAGTAGCTGTCTCAATAAATGCTGTATAAATATTCAAGAGGACTGTGGTCTTCGAATTGAGTGACGTATCGAAAAACATGGCGTGGGACTGTATTTTGAACGTATCTGAGCATTATCAGCTATTGCAGTCCACTACCATAAGGCAGAATATATAAATCAAATTTAAAAAGCAGAAACGAATCCAGACTTACTCAAGATCTTCCGATAAAAAGTTCTCCCTGGCATTTTTGAATACTCGACAGTCAGGGAATCAACAATCGCTATCCCTATGAGCTGATGTCTGGCTAAACCTCGTTGGCCACTCACCTGAAAGCTTTCTCCGCTGGCGATCCTTCGTGATGTTTAAAGTTTTTGTATCAATGAGATTGCCACAATAAGGAAATTTGCGCGTTCCAACCAACCTCGGAACCTTTTTTCCATTGATAGTAGCTTCGAAATTCACGAGTGTCTTGTCGGGATTAACGCGAACGCCATATTCTGGCACACCATCGTGCATGATTTGAAGGAACTGTTTTGCATGTGAGGGATTGGCAGTTATAAGGAGGAAATCGTCGATGAGTCGAAGGAGTATACTATCACCACTCTGGAGAAATTGGAGATGATGCATTTCCAGATCGGCATAGAAATAATTGCACAACAAGGATGACAGAACAGATCCTTGTGGGATTCCTTCTTTTTGCCTGTAGAACTTTTTCCCGATCTTTACCATGTTGCGCTGAACGTGCTCAGCCAGCAGGCTGAGGAGCTCATCTGACTCGCGAAATTGGTTGACAATGCTCTCCACAAAGATGGTGTTTTTTCTACCCACCGCAAGGTCGGATTCAAGGTTCTCATTGAAACTCTGGAAGTCATCAGGAGCTTTGGCGAGGGCCATCCATTTGCGTATTGGCTTGTCTCCTCCGTGATATCCATCACCTGGCTTGACCTCCATGTGCCTAGCAATACGATACTCCGATTCCGAGAGAATAGTGGACATCAATCCTACCACAGAATTCTGTGGAATGGTATCAAATGCAGCTTTGACGTCAACTTTGGCAAAATAGAGTGGTCTTGGCGAGTTCTGAATAGCGGATTTAAATGATTTCAACTTGGGGTATAAGTCGCCGACGGAAAAAAGGGTTGACCTGAGCCGATCGGGATTTGACGCCTGACTTGTTAGTCCAGGCCAGTGTACTGGGAGCTAGAAGCTTACCTTCTCAAATGTAAGAACATTGTAGACGGGAGCTAGGGTAGCATTGATGCTACTCCCAAGAATGTGTTTGGAACCCTTTTTCAATGATTTCCGACGAAGATTCATGATTGGCCTCACACCCGTCTCCTTGGGAAGTAACCGAACTTGACTAAAACCCAACGTTCGGGAGTCTAGAACTTTTCGTGCGTGCTCCATTTTTACCTCTTGAAACATGCTAAGTTTGAGAGATGTAATAGCGGGCTCCGCAAGCGACCGCCATACATCGTGACGGAAGAAGAAGAGACGATAGCGATGGACGTTAGACTCTGTCACGTGGAAGTTTGCTCGGATAAGTGGAATGAGAACTGAATCGAACATATAGTAGATAAACTCGTGGAAGATCTCTAGACCCTTGTTGCGATCCGATTGCGAGAGTTTTTGATTTGCGGAGTTCGGGGGATATAACCATTCCATGCTGGTAGACTGAGGTTATTAGTTTCATGTGGAATGAGCGCAGAGGTCCAAAAATACGTACCTTTAAGTCCTGTGATACTTCATGGAGTGATAGAGTTTCAAATCTTCGAAGATTAATGAATCTGTTCACGTTCCGATGAAATACATTCTCGTTGTGTATTTGCGCTTCCCCTGTACCCCAGAAATCACGAGGCACAAGATGTGAGAGAACGGCTCTGCAAAAGGCAGATACCATGGCGTTGGGTGTTGCATGGTCGATCAACGAAGGTTTCTGTACAGGTATTCGAGCGGAGCCAGACAATGTCACTGGAGCGCTTGCTTTCATGGAGACTTGAGTTTTGAATGCTGTCGAAGTCGATGCGTTGATTTCTAGCGGCGGATCAGAAACTCTGGGTTGCCTTGTTGCCTCGAACACCTGAGATCTCAGCGAAGAAACGCGACAGGGAAATGACGGGAACTAACGGGACAGTAATACTCGAGCAGTTCCTTGTAAGGACATCTCTTATGTTGTATCTGCAGCTTCTGTACTAGACTTACTACCTTGCCCCTCAGTCGTTTAGGAACCTTAGCAGTCGATGAAGGGTATTTTTGACCGATCTCATCTTCGCGCAAAGTATAATCCTTGAAATGTTGGACGGTCTCCCGATGATCCACATCGCAAGTGAACACGTTGTGCAGACCAAACTGTCGGGGGAAGATGTACATCATCACACGTATGGTGTCCAGATGGGGCTTTGGACGCGTCGATAGATTGCCCACCGTTGCTGGGTAGTCATGATCATCCCCTGGGTGATATGGATATCGATTGAGAACATCTAGAAGATTCAGCATTTGACATAGGTCTATGTCACCCGCAGAATGACCTACGAATATGTCGAAGACCAAACCTAACACCGCCTTGCGCATTTAATGCGGCTCGGGCATATAACATGCGATTGCGTACGAAGACTATGCTGGCCGGGGTGCGGATCTCTGATTTGGTGGCATCAATCGCGAACTTGCTATTTTCCGTGGTAACCGGAAGATTGGTAACTCCATTGGTCTTCGGCAAAGGCTTGAGCTCCCCCAGAGGCTGTCCTGTGAGACAGATTAGCAAGACCACTGGTGATCCAACGAAGGTTGACAAACCGCTGAGTTGATAATAGCTGCCACGTCCGCTTCGGACAGGCAAGAAAACCCCACAGTCCAGAATCAAATCAATCATCATCCTCTCACCCTCCTTGCCCATCAGTGCCAGAACTTGGGGCCACGGGGACGCCTTGATAGAAGTCACATGACTGTTAGGATAGGTAGAGATCACGCCTGGAATCGCGGATATGATCCTCTCATTACGATACACGGAACGAGAGCTGACATCTTTTCGAAAGCCTTGACAAAGAAGATGTTGGACTCTCCCGTTGGGCGCTTTTGAAATTAATAGCCAGATTGCGAAGTCAACGATCTGTGAGAGGTGTCAGTGAGTGTGTTTCGGACAATCCGTCCAGTGATGACAATGGTGTAATGCCCACCTCTGACTGTGAAAACACTCCAGTCCCACCGAGGTTCGTAAGATTCGACTCGGAAGTATCAAGGCACTGCGAGAAGGAAGACCACTGCTGCAGCCTTTCCTCGGGCGAGACGGCGTTGTATTTCGACACTCCGACCAAAGTGTTGTCTAGGATATCTGCAAGCGTTTGGTCATGCTCACCAACCCCCCATTGAGGCCTCCTGCCCACAGACAGGATCTTCTTCCTCCTAATTTTGGAAGTCGGGGGCAATTTGGAAATCAGATACTCGCGAAGGGAGAAGACCTGCGGATAGTACTGGGCGAGCAAGGCCGTCCTCACTACGGGATCCTTGCCATTGCAAGCCCCGGAAAGCCTTGGACGCTTGCTGTCGCCCTCGGTTCCTTGACCTGGCCTGGATCTTCTCCGTTTTCCCGCCATGTTGGAGGTGGGATTGCGGGTTGATGCGCGGGATGGTTCAGTTCATGGGAGGGAGACGCGCTGGCTGGAGCTGGAGCGAGCGAGCGCACGAGTAGTTGGAGTCGGTTCGGGCCATTGGGCTTCCCCGAAGGCGCTATTAAGGGTCCCTGTTCCCCGGTGTAGTGGATCTCACGTTGTATTAGCCAAGGCATCAATGATAATCCCAAGAGCGAGAAGTGTACCTTAGCTTGCCTGTACTCTGCGCGTACCTTGCCGCGTATCGCGATAAGGGCTGGTGATAAACAGAGAATTAAGATAATCCTACTAGTCCGTGAGTCGTGAGCAGCTGAGCGAAGGGGCTGATTACATAAGGCACACGACTCGCGCGGAGGCTGGAGTGGGACTAGGACGATCTGGGAGCCACCCGGTGCGGCTGCCGTCTTTAGCGCCAATCAATCCGCGCCGCCCGTCGGCTAAGCCAAAGGTGAAAGCATGATTGCCTCCTGTATGGGGATTTGGGAAGAGAGCCATAGGTTGCTTCAGATATAACCTTTTCTCGTCCTGCATCAGTTTGATCCGGATTCCCTGAGCAAAGGCCGAGCATTTCTGAGCATGACCTGAGCAAGACCTGAGCAAGTCGCCATCAACGTAGGGGTCCTGTTCTGGCTTCCCTGCGCTGCTAAGCGAAAGACTAAGTAAGCAGTTTACTCCAATCCCAACTTCAATATAGATGTCACAAGGGGCCGGGATATTTGGATCCATCAGAGAATTTGAAGTGGACTTTCACAATCAAAACCCCATTTGGGGGGGAGCTGACGTTAGAGACCTCGAACGATGAAATCTCATCATGCCAGCAAGCTGTCAGTTATAAGCTCGGAAAGTTTGGTCACAATGGCAGTTTCTGAAGTTTTCGTGAGATGTTTACGTACATATATCGGTTGCTTCAAGGAAGACAAAGCAAATAAGATTTAGAGAGCATGATGAGGAGTAGCGGTGGCAGCCGGCAGGAGGTTTAGCACGACTTTCTTGATCTCGCTATCTTGATTCTTGACTGTGACACCTACAAACTGCTAATAATGGGAATAAGGATGTCAGGGATAGAACATCATTTAGCATTATTAGGAGTCACGAATAGAAGTTTGAAGCAGGATTTTAGATCTAGATTCTGTGAATGTCAGAGTCACTATGTCCACACAGTTCTGGGTGGTCGAGAGTCTAGAGCTTTGGTCTTTGGTAATTACAGAGAGTTCAGAGGGATTCAGGATTCTGAGAAGAGGGGGCAGATCTTCCAAGACGCAGAACAGGTGAATAGTTGACGTTGTAGGTCGTCAAAGAGCTACGGCGGTAGTCTAAAAGTCGTGAATGTTGGGCCTGAGGCACCACATCGCTAAATCCCCCTGCACGACGCTAAGTGGGCCGGAGCAGCAGGCTGAATCAACTGCTTACGGTCTAGACGAAATACCAGAACATCGAACATCTCGCGAAGCATCCTCCGCCCATACTCCCCGTCGCGCACCTCTGCAACACCAAGGGATATCACCTAATTGCCCATTGCCCATCCCGTCCCGGCATCAAAGGGCTTGAATGCCCCTGAGTCTCTCGTTTATAAACCGGCTTCGCGACACCACTCACTGACCTCCCCCGACAGCACAACGCAGCACACCAGGCAGGGTACAGCGAGTACCACGTCGAATCTCCAAACGACCCGCCAGCGAATCAGGTCTCACCACCACTCAGCGTCTCCCACGACTTAGCACACTTACATGGATCGGTGAGTATCTCTGAAGCGTCACTACTTGGTCCAGGGCACGACGGCCTGATCAATGTTCGGACACGATGGAGGACGGAACCAACGAAGACCAGAATTTCTATTCTAGGCGCCCGCTCCCTCGATCCCCCGAGCAGCAACAACAGCATCGGCAGCCTCCCCAAACGCCCCCTGATCTGTCAAACTCCTCATCTATCTCCCCTGAATCCGAACACAAGATCTCTGCCCTCACCACTGCCAATCTCCAGGCTGTGACGGCAAATGGATTCGAAATTGGACTGAGCCCGAATGGGGAGCCGGATGAGTTCTACAGGGAGTATAGAGGTGTACAACAAGCGTCGAACGAGCATACTGAGATCACAGCAGACGGGATGACTGCAATGATATCCGACCCTCGATCTGTACCGTCTACAAGCTCGAATAGCAATGGCACGGCTCCTAGAAATCCTACCTTGCCTGTGCTGCGAAACAATCTTAAGCCCGCGAACCGATCTGCCTCTGCACCGGTCAACGACAAGTCCGTACTAGAAAATGCCAAATCATCGCCTGCGCTCAATGGGAAGTCACAGACTGGGAAGCCGAGCGTCAAAGATTTGTTAAAGCGCTTCGACCAAAATAATAGTGAACCATCACCCTCTGCACCGCGAAAGTCAGCCCCGCGTCTTGTTACAAAGGAGAGTCCTAGTAGCAGTCATGGACACATGAGGGATCGTGTCGGAGATCAGCCTCGAACAGCATCGGCCTCGAACCTTCATAGAAATGGCACATCAAGGACAGGAGGGTCGTCCCGAAATTCAGGATCTGGCGGTACGAAGTCTCCGACAGCTGCGAGACCGAGTCCGTATGCCCGGCCCACACCTGAGAACCAGCGTTCCGAAACCCTATCTGGTGTAGCTCGTGCAACTCGGCCAGGGAGTGCAGTATCTGGCAATAGCCCAAAAGCTTCGAAGTCGATGATAAACCTTCCTCCTATCTCACCTACCTCTCTATCCAAACCACCGGCTAGGAAACCGCTATTTGGCGAAATTCTTCCTGTCGGACAGGAGGCCTCAGGTGTTGGATATGGTATATCTCAAGCAACTTGCGGAACATCCGAATCTAGTTTGGATCCTTCTGGGACCCAACCACGGAGCAAGTCTAGCCTGGACATTTCTCCATCCTCCCCAACGGCCTGGTACCTCGGGGTAACTCCAGCCTTGGAAGACGTGGATCCTAACAAAGCACCACACATATCACCTGCCCACAACCGGAATCACAGCGATCCCGTAGATACTAGAGTCAGAACTACGAATAGTGGTGACACATCTTCTCCTGCCACATCCGCAAGTAATGCCCAGATGCACGAGGCAGCAAAGTCTGCATCACGGTTACCGCTGTCAACTAAGAGGCGCAGCACTCCTTCTAATTCCTCGAGCCCGACGTCAACTGGTTCAAGTTCGCCATTCTCGAGCAGGACACCCGTGAATACGAAACGAAAATCAGATCAGAGACCATGGAGCCCGGCGGGCCGTGCAATGACAACCACTACCCGTACCACCCCACCTGGCAGCACAACTGCCCCTACCAGCCTGTCCCCACGAAAGGCAAAGAGCCCTAGGAAGCTCAACACCAACTCCTCCAGTCTCAAGGCCTATATCTCTGCTCCACCCCCAAAGACGTCTCCACCTTTGCGAAGTTCGCGACCGCGACTACCTGTTTCATCTGCGTCAACTGTAAGCTCTAGATCGAGGGCTGCTGATGGCTCCGGATCACCGCAACAGGTTCGAAGTGGGATGAAGATTACACGCAATGGCGGATCGAATGAATCCAAGCCCCGGAAGATTGTGGATTCTGGCCCGGTTGACTTTGCCGCTCGCCGTGAACGAATCCAGAGGGCCTATACAAAATCCATCCATGAGAGTGAGCAAAGGGAGATCCGCGCAGCAAATATGCGGCGGTTGAATGAACATGAGGCCCAGGAGACGGCGGGAGAGGAGAGTCGTGAAGGAGGTGAAATGCCAGAATTGCCCCTACCCACCGAATCCGTACCGGATCCCGCGCCCACTGCAGTAAAACCTCTGCAGATAACGACCTCTTTTTCCCAACCTCAGGAAGGCAGATCCCTAGCGGGTCCAGATTCTCCTACACTGGGTATGCCCGGAACTTTTCTTGTTGACGAGGAGGAGCCGGCATCAGCTATGACTGACGCTACTGGAACCACCGAATTTGATAATGAACAGCAAACTGAAGCTCCGCAGTTAAATCGTATGTCTGCAGCAGCGCAATTTTCGGAGGCTATGGTGTCTAGCAGCCTCTTTCAATGGGACGATTTGAGTGCGGAGCAGGCCTCCTTCAGCGTGGGACACTCACTTAGAAGCGGACCAAATTCTATCGAGGGTTCACCCAATACTTCACCAGCCGAGGAGCATCAGCCAGACCATACACCGACCAATGACATTTTCGAGCCGGATCCATTACCCCCCGGCGCTTTCAGGCACTATTCTGTGCAATACGATCAACCCATTCCTGCTACCACAACCACAGCAGCTGGTCCGGAGCAGATTGCTGAACATCATGGACCCGTGGATTCGCTGCAATTTATAGATCAAACTACTGGCAACGTTGATAGTAGCGCTCAGGAAGCAGGAACCTCACAGATCCATCCGCCTCCTCAAATCTTGTTCCATCCAGAGTCCGAGACTGCAGACTCCAGCGCTTTATTGGGTATCAGCTCTGCTCCGCAATCACTGGACATGAACGATGTCCATGACTACTTGAACACTCCTGTTACAGAATTGGATTACGAGAGTTCTGATGGATATGGTGCTAACGCCAGTGAGCCGGAGGTTTACGAGGCATCATACGAACAAAAGCACGATATTCAAAGTTCTACTCGCATCTACCGCTCAAGCCACCAGTCCTCTTGGACTAACGATTCAGTGGAGACAGCTGAATCTTCTGGGCATGGTGATTACTCTTCTCCGCCTCTCCAATCAATGCCGGAGCCTGAGAGAAAGCCCACGCCGCCTCCAAAATCTCAGCCGTCCCCTGGCATCCCCCCAAAACCCGAGAATTACAGCCCCCAGCCGTCCCCAGTTTTTGCTACTGAAACCCCACGCCGCGCGAGTTCCAATGCTCGCCCCGCTCCCTTGTCGACAGACTCAAGTTTTCGAATCTCTTTCTCGGATCCCGCACCAGTACCGCTAATACCGCCGTATTCTCCACCCCCACCACCAGTCCCTCGGCAGCTAGATGATGTACAGCCAATTCGTCCGACTCGATCTCCACCTCCGCCCATTATATACAACAATGGGGCGACATCCAGCTTACCCCCATCGAATCATAACAACACAAGCCGTAACACGGAGTCCCCACGCGCTAGTGGTGATTTTTACTCACCGAGACCTTCTATAAGTACACCAAGATCATCAGCTCAGATATCATCGGTAGAAAGTACAGCCAACCAATCTTTTGGATCCAAGGATGTGTTACTGGACCTCTCGGAAGAGGATAAGAAGGCCGCAGAGAAGTTGAGAAAGCGGCTATTCCAGCGTCGAATGCTCATCAAAGAATTGATCGACACTGAATCCGTCTACCTGAAGGATATGAATGTGGTGGAAGAAATCTACAAGGGAACTGCTGAGGCATGCCCTAAGCTGGATAGTAATGACATCAAGGCGATTTTTAGGAACACTGATGAGATCGTTGCTTTCTCGACCATATTTCTCGACGAATTGAAATCTGCTGGTTCGAGTGTCTACTCTCCACGATCACAAAGGAAAGGCAAAGCCACTCCTGCAGCATCTACGGCCCCTTCCCCATCTGTTGATGACCGATTTTCTGTGGCACCCACCTTTGTGGAAGACAGCGATGATCAGAAAGACCGAAGAACTTTTATCGGAGCGAACTTTGGCAAACACCTCAAGAAGATGCAAACCATCTATACCGACTACTTAAAAAATAGCGAAAACGCGAGCGCTAGACTGGCGTCGCTACAGGCCGACAGTGCGGTTAAAGTGTGGCTTAGTGAATGCAACCTTGTTGCTAAAGATCTGACAGCGGCCTGGGACCTTGACGCTCTCCTTGTCAAGCCAGTTCAGCGCATTACGCGCTATCAATTGCTTCTCGCCCAGATATTCGAACATACTTCCGAGGATCATCCAGACTGGCCGGCTTTGCGCGTCACTGTCGACGAGTTGGCTAAGCTGCTTAAGAACATTGACGACCTAAAGAAGAGGATTCAGATGGTTGGTAAAATCGTCGGCCGAAAGCGGAAGGAATCAGACGTTCGTTCAGGAATTGCCAAAGCCTTTGGTCGTCGTACAGACAAACTCCAAGCTGTAAATATGGCGCGTCCTCATGATGACGACGTATACCTCAGGTTGTACGAAAGGTTCGGCCACGATTTCTTGAGATTGCAGGTTGTCTTACGCGACGTTGAGTTTTATACTCGGGAAATCACGATCTACGTGAGGAAATTCTTAGAATACCTCTCGTCAATCGAACTCGTCATGCGGATCTCTGCCAGTACAAATCCCGAGATTGAGAGCAAGTGGGTTCGTTTCAACGTATCTATGAGGGACATAGGAACCGTTGCCTTGGAGGATCACGTAAGTAGTTCTGCAGCATGTCCCCTCTGATCGGTCGGTGCTTACCGATTTCTAGTTGGCCTTAGTGCGGTCAAAGGTCATCGAGCCTTTTGAGAGTGTCATTCAATCCTACGGTCCCCCAAGTCTCGCAATCAAGAAGCGCAATAAGCGCCGCCTCGACTACGAGAAATATTTGTCGCTGAAGAGCCAGGGCAAAAAGATCGACGACAAGCTCGCGGACATGGTTGACCAATACGAGGCTTTGAATGAAACTCTCAAGCTTGAGCTGCCGAAACTTTCGACTCTCACCGAGTCTGTCGGCAATGCTTGTCTCGTTCAGTTCGTAAATATCCAAACAGCGTGGTATGGAATATGGCAGGACAAGTTACGAACCGTTTTGGAGGAGGACCGGATGCCGAAGGATATCGCGGACATGATCAATATGTTTGCCCAAGAGTTTACGCATGCCGAGGCCCTTGTCCACGAGCTTGGAATTGTGAATGGTTACTTCCTCACAGGCATAGCCACGTCGAAAGGCCGGGTATCTGAGTCTACACAATCGACAAGCGATCCTAAAGGGCGTCCATCTAATCTATCGAGTCGGTCTCGCGGATTGTCTGTCGATAGTGACAATACCCCAAGTCTTCCAACGCCAGATTTCGAAAGACACCACCGGCACAGTGGTCAATTTGTCTTTTCGCCGATTGCCCCCACCCCTCCAGAAGTCGCGCAGTCTGCTCACCAGGCACAATCACATTCCCAGTGGCACACCCGGAACGGTTCGATGACTCTTGCTACTCCTGATGCCACGTCTACATTTGGAAACCGTTCACAGGCCTCGAATCTGGCAAGACCAAACACTGGACGAAGCTACACCTCCGAAAGTGGAGCTGCGCGACCCAGCACTGATTACAACAGCCAGCACCGACGGGAGTCTGGTTCTACGTCTACTTCTGGTTACCACCACGTCGACGGGCCACCTCAGTCCACTAGACCATACTCCGAACTTTTCAACTCTGCAATGCCTCTTCCCGATGGCCCAGAGGATAGCCAGCGATCGTCAAGAGCTTCTTCTCGAGACCGCAACGTTTCTGGCGGCTACAATGTCCTCTATCTAGCTGCAAGTTTATTCGAGTTCAACATCGAGGCGACAAAATCCGAAGCTGGATACCCATACCTTACCTACGATGCGGGTGAAGTAAGTTATTGCGTCCCCCTTTCTTCGGATTCAATGGACTAACCATCAATTAGATCTTCGATGTTATCGGCGAGAAAGGCGAGCTCTGGCTAGCCAAGAACCAGGACGATCCTTCAGATCAGGTCGGTTGGATCTGGAGTAAACATTTCGCGCGCTTAGCAACTTGAAGCACGCTTTAGTAAAAGTTCCATTTGTATTAACGGCGTTCAAATGAGCGTTGGAACAGAACGGAATAATATGGAGGTCCTGGGAAGGTTCAGATGGATCGACATAAAATTCAGAGAATTAGATGGCGTTATTAGGGTGATCTGGCGCTCCAGTGGTCTTGACGATGCCATCCGATGTTTTCTTTTCTATTCACTTCTTTGGTGGCTGCTCTAACTTCGGGGCCCACGTCTTTTTTTTTACCCGTCCATTTTTGAGCTAGGTTTGGTGAAACCCAGTTGACCGGCCTGGAAGGGTTTTATTTGCATGATGGGATGGTATGATGGGATTTGTTTGTGCAGGATCGAGGTTCTCTATTAATGAGATGATGGGATGGAGGGATGGTCTGGCCTGGCGTGGTTGATGAATTGTGGCTCCCAACTCAAGCATGCGAGCTATATTGCAAGCACCTGTCCAAAGTATCTGATACGGATCAATTGAATCTCGTATGATGCATTTCCGTCCCATTGCTGACTTGTGTGACCTATGGAATCTATCTGAATTAAAATTAAGCTGTGTAGCTATTCACTCTAACGACGTGCAAATCACAAATATTATTTCACCCTAGCCCATTCTTACCTATCCCTATTGAACCGTGGCTCCCCCAATGACTTCCTCCATCGTTCCCCCCAGACCAACAAGCTAGCAACCGGTAAGAAGAAGGCAAACACAATCCCAGCAAATATTCCCCAGGCGCCGTCATAGCCCACGCGGTTCGCAAGCGGCAAGGCAAAGAACCCGACCACGAAACTCAAGCCGCGGCTCAAATTGAAGAGCACGCCCGATTCCGCCGTCTGCGGTTTGTAGCAGTCACTCACATACGCGTACAGCGTCGTCGACGCAATCTGGAGCCCGAAAACCCCGACTGCGAGCCCGACCAGTGGGGGCACGTAGGAGGAGGTACGACCAACGGTGCACCCAAATATGATGAGCCCCGCGGGCATGAAAATGGCGGAGAGGGGGCAGAGATAAAGCCGGTATTCGGGTTTGCGCACGCCGTTGTTGCGGGTTGCGAACATGTAGACGACGTAGTCTGAAGCGCGCCCGGCGAAGAATTCCCCGAGGACACTCCCAATGATCAAGGAGACACCGAGGCACGCTCCAATAGGGCCGGAGGACAGCCCGTAGGCTTTCGTGTAGATGGTGGCGATGGAGATGGCGGGCAGCACGTTGATGAACGTCCACGCCCACGTGTAGTACCAGAAGGAGAAGGCTACGCTAGGGTACTTGAGCATGAGGAAAGAGTCCAGGAAGTCGGACGCTCGCAGGCGGTGACCGGGGATCATGTTCCCTCGGAAATCCCAGAGCATCTGGAAATACGAGCGCTCGTGCGTCTTGGAGTTGAGGAAGGCGGGAGAGCGGCTGAAGAGGGTTTCAGGGAAGAGGAAGAGGGCGACCACGAAGGAGAGGCTGGTCGAGATGGCCCCGAGCCAGTAGTCCCACTGCCAGCCAGCGGCGTGCCCGAGAAAGCCGCCAACTAGGAAGAAATTGTCAGCCTTATGTGGAATATGGGACACCATCTTCAGCCCCAGGGGTTGGAAGTGGAGCCTGTTGACCAGGGGGGGAATGGTGAAGAGGTTGATGTTTTGGAGGTCAAGGAGAACAAGGAGAACGTACTCAGAGCGGCCACATGAGCGCCATTCGTGACGAAGATGGCATAAACTCCAGTCTTCTCTCCTCGTTCATGGAGAAAGAACATGTCGTTGACAGAGGCCGTGCCGACAGACATCATCCCCCCGAAGCCGGCTCCGCAGAGAGCACGCGTCCCCAGCAGGGCACTGAAGTCTTTCGAGGATGCTGAGCCTATCCCTCCCAAGATCGTCATCAGGATAGCGAGGAGGGTGATGGGTCGTCGTCCATAGTGGTGCATCAGCGGGGTGAAGATGAAGGGTGATACCCCACCAAGGATAATCGCCGTCGTCGTGCTGTACGCGGCCGTCTTCGAGTCTCGGTGCATCGCCTTACTCAGGAGGACGAGACTGGGGTTGATGAGGCCGGCATTGTACGGCCCTAGGAAGGCCATGTAGCCCACCTGGATCAATACAGTCCATTTGAGCCACGAAGGCCAATTCTGACGGCGGTGTCAGACAGTGGTGGGATGGTGATGGGGTTGTGAATACTGACCAGCGGATCATCCTTGAAAGCGCTGGGCTGGGGCACCAGTGGCAGGCCTTTTGAATCCAACTTGAGGTCGATGGAAGGGATGCTGGAGCCCTTCTCGCCACCGTCGCTCCGAGACTCAATGACATCCACGACGTTGTCTTTCTTCTGGTCTGCAGCGTGAGTATGGGCCATGGTCGCGCGTGGAAAACGACGGGGAGAAGCCGCATGCGAAGCACATGGCGGGCGACAACAGGACAGCAGAACAGAGCACAGTATATAAGACCTACAGGCAATACAATGATCATCGACGCTGTACCGGGAGAGCGGTACAAGAACTCGGGGGTTGAGCAAAGGCCAAGGCCAAGGAGGCCAAGGAGGCCCATTGAGGGTGGACGGGCACACAGTGTACGCTGGAGAGGAGCTCGCCCGCCAAGGAGTCGAAGGCGGTCGACGCGATTCAGTCACCTCGCGGCCTGTCTCTCTGCCAGAGGTCGGATTGGATCCCCGTCGCAGATCGCGCCCTGGTGAGCGCCCTCGAGTCCTGAGAGCCGGACGGTGGCCCCACGCCCGCGATCGTCCAGCGGCCAGGGCGCCCAAGAACCCCAGCGCGGGCATGGGTCTGGCTGGCCATGGTTGGGCTCCGATTGGCGCGAGGCCCGGCGTGGTTGTTGGTGTCTTGAGTGTCTTGAGTGTCTTGAGTGTCTGGTCGATGGTTGAGGCAAAAGATGGGCGGTCCAGACGCAAGGAGGCAATACAGTAGCCCTCGTCGCCCTCGTAGCCCGCGTAGCCCTCCTCGGTGTACTGGCGCAACAGCCTGTGTAGTGCCGCTCCCCCCTGGGAAGAAACGCGAATCTTTGCTTCTCGCGCCCTCACACAGACCCCATCGCCGCGACGGCTATTATCGAGCTTTAAAACATCGCAAATCCCCATGGTGCGCGCTGAGAAAGTCCAATATGTACGTCCTGTACGGACCACGGTGCTGCATGCGAGAGAGCCAAGGCCCTCGAACTCTAAAACCCCCTTCGATCCGAAGACCGAAGATAAACATTACGGGAGCACAATGCTGGGTCACTGGGTGTGAATCTAAATTACAATTTAAATTTAAATTGATAATTGATCTACACATTTCAATATCGAAAAACATGGCGAATTTATAGATACCTCATGGATTCCACGCTTACCTAATTCCCGCCCGCCAAAGCCAAAAGCTCAAGCTCCAACTGACGATCGACCAAGAAGAGTTCCGCAAAGCTTATCCCATCAGCGCCGCATCTCCCCTCCACTCCCCCCGACCCCGCAAATCGCAAATGCTCTCTCCAACCTCCCCCGTGTACCTTTGATATACCGGGAGAACCACCGCAACCGTATCACCGCCGATTCCCGTTGTTGTTGTTGAGTCGTGTGTTGTGCTGGCCACAGCATCCGCATCTCCTCGCTTTGTCCCGAGGCGAGATTCCCTGATATCAACCTCGCCCGCCTCGCCACCCTTCCGTGATCCTCTGATATCTCGCCCCAACTCATGATGGACGCCCAGACCAGAGGCAAAAAGACCGGCAAGGCGCGAATCCCCGACCATCTCCGGCGGCGAGCGCTGGTCAGTTGTGACCGGTGCAAGAAGAGACGGATCCGCTGCTTACGCTCCGGGTCAGATGGCCAGCAGCCCTGTCAGACATGTCTAGAGGCCGGCGCAACTTGTCAGTCGACGTTGCCCCGGAAAACTCGAATCTATGGCAGCGTAGAGACTCTGAGTATACGATATAGAGTGCTGGATGCTCTTGTCAAAGCTCTGTTCCCCGACAAGGATACGAACAGCATCGACTCGCTCTATGCCATCGCCGAAGCAAACGATATTACCCTGCCCACCTTCAGTGACCAAACCATTGCAGAGGAGGTCTTCAGCCAGCCTCAAAAGTTGCATTCCGAGACCCCTCCGGAGAACTCTGAAGCCAGTACAGTGAGGAGCCCCTCGCTCGCATCCAATCCTTCCGAAGCTCATTCCAGCATCGATGATGCGCCTGCTAGCCCGGCCCTCGTCGAGGAAAAGCTCGTTCCTCTCCCCCGTGGCCCATCTCACTATATTGGGCCGTCGAGCTCATTTGGCTTTGTGCTCACCGTACGGCATATGGTGGCAGAGTTCAATGCGGCCTTGAGAAGCACCCAGCTAGACGACGAGCGCTCGAGGATCTCGTCGGATTTTGCAAAATCAAACTGGAGCAAAGCGCTTGAGCCTATTGGAAAGGCTGAGAGTGATACATCTTCTGAGGACCACAACGACCGAGATAGCAGCCAAGGCGTCGCCACAGGCCCAAATCGTGGATTACACGGCCCCAAAGGACCCGCGAAACCGACCAGTGCTTGGGCCGTGTCTGGTCGGACAAGGAAGCCCGTCACGCTATCTCTGCTTCCGTCAAGGGAGGTCACCGATACTTTTGTTGAGGCATATTTTAGCCACGTCCATCCTAATTACCGTCTATTCCATCGGGGTACATTTCAGACTCGCTACGAGTCTATGTGGGCCCAACCAGGCGGACTCCTGAAAGACCAAGAGCCTGGGTGGATATGCTGTATTTTCATGATGCTTGTATTTGGAGCACAAGCGCTGGAAAATCGCGATAAAGCTGAATCACTGCGGATTCAGCATCACTATTTGGAAATGGTCCAGTCCCGGTTACATTCGCTGGTCAGCACAAGCACCCTGGTCAATGTCCAGGCCCTTCTCCTTCTCCAGTTATACCAACATAACAACACCGAGCGCAACAGTGCCTTCATGTTGTTGGGCTGCGCTTCGAGAATGGCTATGGCCCTCGGTATGCATCGGGAAGGTACCTCGGGAGGATTCGACGAGATGGAGCGGGAGGTGAGGAAACGGGTGTGGTGGACATTGTACGTTTTCGAGCAGAACCAGTGCGCGATCCTCGGCAGACCTTGCGCAATTGACGACATGGAAGTCAATGTTACATTTCCAGATGAGATCATGTTGGAGGGTACAAATCCAGACCCACCAGGTTATGTTGAATATCTTGTACGCATCACGAAGCTGATGTCAGATGTTCGACGCAAAATCTACGCCTCGCCCAGCAATCCCGCACAGCATGGTGACCACCCCAAGATAGGGGTTGCCATCCAGTTCCTCCTAGATCTTGACTCTTGGTATAACAGTTTACCCGCCGCTCTGCGCCTCGACTGTCTTACCCATACACCATGGCAGCGCCGCGCCGTTACCCTCCTCCACGTCCAATTCCATCATACGCAGGCCCTTGTGGCACGACCTTTCATTCTCCGGAAGGTGAGTGTGCAATTAGCCCGCCGACTGGGAAAGCATGTGCGTTCTCAAGATCTCGATAAGGAAGAGGTGAACCTCAGCAATGCGTGCGGAGACTTTTCCAGAAAGACGGTTGACCTTCTCAATCAACTCCTGGCCACGGGCATGTTTGACGGCGTTGCGTGGCTCGATGCCTACTACATCTACCATGCTGTTTTTATCCTGGCCCTCGATTTCCTCGCTCGCCCCTGGGATGACCAGGACACACCCGAGGATGCAGCTCGCAAGAAAGCCGTTCGAGACATAGCAGATGCTTTGCAAGATGTAAAACTCTGTCCCACGTTTGCCATCTTGGTCCCGGTGGCTATGCAGCTTGCCAAGATCGTCGGCATTTTCGATCCCCAGCCAGTTCCCAACAACGAGCGGATCCCCAAAACGGAGGAGATCCCCCAGTATTATAATCAACTGCAGTCCCAATTATCACAGTCCCAATCATATCCATTAGTGCCCCAGGGGACTCTGCCCATTGTCGAAAATGGGATCAATTCCTGGTTCCAGAAAGGACCCGTCGACATCCCTTGGGATTTCAGAGATTTCTTTGGAGTAGATGCTTCTGGACTGGGTCCTGCGGGTTCGTTTACTTATTTCTCCGCACCGATGGGAAATGTATATCGTAATCATATTCCTGGAATTGACGAGGACAGCATGGCTCAACCCCTCCCACCCGATATTAGCTATATTCCGTGGGGCGCGGTTGAGAACCCGTATGCGCAGCCGAATCGGGGAGGCGGAAGCTGAAATCCCTTTTCAGGAGACATACAATAAAGGGGGATGAGACAGCGGATTGATGATATGCGATAGCTGTCGACGCAGCTATGGCGGCTGAGATGTAAGGGGAAAACACTACCCCCCACGTTCTATGCCCACCCTATTCCGAACGACTTACTTTTTACGACACAATCTTTGTGGTATGTCCACTTGTTGGTCCTCGATCTTGCGGATTCAGCGGTCAGAATATTTTAGGAAATATGTGGAAGTAGCTCTAGGGGTGCCATCGGAGGAGGTAGAAAAGCGAGGATATTCGATACGGATTTATGAACTCAAAAAGCAGGAGGCGGGGTTTTCTTCACGTGTGTCAACGCAGCTGAAGAAATGTCGGGAACATTGGTTTTAACTAGCCACCAGTGTGGCAGTGGCCGCAGTTGGAGTGATGTGGTTTTTTTTTATTCCACCATGTTCAAAGCTTGGAAAACTGGTCACTTTGATGGGCAAGATATCCGGCTCGCCGCCCTTGACCCAACTCTGTACGTCAGTATCCTTTCAAAGCTTCAAAAGCGTCATACCCAAACAACCAATCCAAAAATTCTTTCCTACACCGAATGTTCTGATGGCCTTCCTTGATCCCAGGATTGGCCAGAAGATATGCATCTCTTATCCTTTGTGCCTCCCCGTCCTCCATCTGCGTGTAATACCGCGAGTCAATACTCGCGAGCGCTACCTTGTTCGCCCGTTCCTTTCTCAGGGTCTCGTATAACTTGAGGGTCTTAGGGAGATCTGAGGGGGAGGGATACTTTTGGAGGAGTCCACCGAGGATGGCGGAATCTTCAATTCCCATTGCGGCACCTTGGGCAAGGTAGGGCGTCATTGCATGGGCGGCATCGCCGATCAGACAGAGTTTCGACGAGGTATGACTCCACGTTTGGAGGTAGCTATGTGTGAAGAGCTGTTGTCCACGTGAGAATTGAGCGTTGATGAATTTGGAAAAGTCTCACCCTCCATTCCAGAACCTCGCCGACATGCTCTAGTATCTTGACGATTCTGGTACCGGATGATCAGTCATGCTAAGATGGGCAGTAGGGAAGACAAGGGGCAACTACTAACCTAGGGTCCCAATCTTGAAACCGCCTCCTTACCTCGGCCATATTCCCGGGTCTCTGGTTCACCCCCTCCGGCATCTGGGCATCACACCTATCCTTAGTTTAGCTTCTCGCTCCAACGAACCCGCGATCCGATTAACCAACGTACGTAAAGACAAAGTTTATCAGGGTATCATTGACACCTTCTAAAAGATACGACAGAACCGTCCCATGAGGTCCCAGCCAATGATTATTTCGCGGTACCGTGACAATTTCCTTCAGTTCAGGAATTCCTTGGAGCTCCTTGGCAGGAAGTGTTACGCGATACACCATCTGTCCCGTTGGAATTGGCGGAGTAGGTTCTCCCACAACGACTGATCTGGCCACGGAATGTAGGCCTAAGCTTCTGGGTTAGTCGATTTGAGGAATTGAGGTTAAGAAGGCCATACCGTCTGACGCCACGATAAGATCTGCTTCATATGTGACCCCGCCCTTTGTCAGAAGCGACGGCTTAGAAGGATCAATTGAGACGACGCGATTGTTCAGAAGCACCTTGCAGCCCGCTGCCTTGGCTACTTCCAGCAGACCTCGGTGAAGGTCAGCACGATGGATGTGCCTTTCGTCCTGTCAGTACTTGATCCACAGGTACGGATCCCATTCCGGAGGTATGCGTACCAGTAAGGAGATTCATATTCCTTCTCGGCAGGCTCTTTGAGTGGGCATGAGACGAGGAGAGTTCCATCTTTCCAACTCATCATTCGCAGATCTACGGGCTCGGTACAGTATTTCTCGATATACGCATCGACGCCCAGCTCACGAAGGATGCGGGAGGCATTGGGTGATACCTGAATGCCTGTGGACAGTTAGTATGTAGGAAGAGCTGTAAGGGGTTGGACAGAGGTCTAAGAGAAGGGCTGACTACCTGCTCCGATGTACGTGATCTCGGGAGCGCTTTCGAGGATCGTGACCTCGTGACCGCCTCTTGCCAGTGAGATTGAAACTGTGAGGCCGGCGAGGCCGGCGCCGATTACGATTATATGCTATTCCCGACGTTGTCAGTTTGTATCTGAGAGAAGCTTGAAGTGAGGGGCAGGACTGGGAGATGGCGGGGAGGGAGGTAAACGAAAAATCTTACCATTTTGCTGGACGCTCTTCTTGGTACGGGTATACTGAACAACACAAATGGCCTCTCCAAGATTTCTCTACAGTGCTTTGCTACAGACCAGGTATGGATATATACGTATACGAATTTCTATCCCTTTTGTCAAATGCGTTGTGAGTTTCCCTTGCCTGGACGGAAGCATTCTTCCTCACGGAAGCATACACTCGGCTGCTTCGTTCGGCCTGATTGGGCAATGCCCAACCTCTGCATGCACAGTTTCCTGCTATCCGGAATTTCGAACTCATGATCTCTGATAAATCTTCTCACGGCCTGCTTTTCCGTGCCGTGGTATTATGCGGTGGTCTGTGGCCTCAGCCGGCGTGGTACTATATTGATCTTCCCGCCCTCTCAGATCTGTACCATTTCCACTCTACTGGATCTTGGCTGATATACCATACCGGATAATCGGGGATTTATAAGTTAGATGCACCCAACGTGTTCCCATACCAAGGGATCCTCCAGAGAAAGGCGGCACTCTCGCGCTCTGATTGACTTCCTCTTTCCCGTGTAGGATGCATGTGATGTGCTTTGATCCTGATATACCAGCTCTTGGCCCCTCCATCGATGCGGATCCTCTACTAAGTCCAGCTATAATCATGATCCACGACCATCCAGGCTCTCGGCTGTGGTGTACACGATATCCTTTCGAGACGCGAACGCGTCATGCCGCAGCCCCACCTATCCCGCGTCGCAAAGCATCCTCTGCTGATGGTTTTTGAGTTGGGATCCTGTCTTCCGCGAGCCGCACTCTCGTCCGCCAAGAAGAACAGGCTAAGTGGATGGATCTACGGGACGTGTCCGGTTTGTTGAGGGCGAGAGATGACCAAGGCTGATTCAAGAACACAGGTTGGCCTTATTGAATAGAGGGGTGAGGGGGAAGTGTTGTGAGATTTTACTGTAAAGAGGGGGGGGGAACCAGAAAGGAACGAAATCACGTGAACCGACATGGGTCTTGTAAGGGCAAGGTAAGATAAGGTACCTAGGTAAGGCAAGGGGTTGAAGTCGAATTGTTGGATTCTTCTAAGAACAAAGGACAAAAATGGGATGATATACTTCAAAAACCTCGAGATTCTTTTGCCACGCTCGATGTGCGGGACCAGGCACTCCCTCCCACTAGCGGTACCTGAGGCACGACGAGACTTCGGTCCCAGCGACGGAATGACGCGCGGGTCGAGATCACGTGACACATCCCCTGAGAACCCCTGAACCAGGCACACGGCGAGCGAGCGGTTTTGATTGTGATGACCACCGAACAGGGAAGAATCCGCAGGTTGATGTCACTGTGACTGAGGATGATGGGAATTTCTGGCCATGATTCTCACGTGGATCAGAGAGTCGCCGCACTCCACTGATGAACAGTTCCTGTTTTCTACCGTATCTGCAACGGCCGCCAGCCTCGGTTGTGTTTGCAGGGGATTAGGTAAGCCGTGTGCGAGACATTTCACGATTTCGCGATACGAGGCCCGAGTCGCCGATAAGGCCACGGCCTCACGGACTCTTCACTTGGGAGATTCCCTGTGTAAAAAGCGTGGATGTATGCCGTTACACAGTGCAGAGTGCAGAGTGCAGAGCACAGTAGTACTACAGTAGTGGTGGTCTGCGGTAGAAGGATGCAGGAAAGATGTGCGGGAAAGCTGGCAACCCTTGGACAACTGGGCGCTGAAACCCTGGCATCCTTACGTAGCGGAAGCCACAGCAGAAGCCAAAGCAAAAGCCAAAGCAAAAGCCAGTGCAAAAGCCAAAGCCAAAGCCAACGCAAAAGCCAAGGCAAAAAGCCAAAGCAAGGAAAACACGTCAATAGTAGACGGCTACTGGTGCTATTGCTGTCCTGCCAATGTACTACCATCTGTGCTGCACTGTGCTGCAGTGATGTTGACCTCAGCCAAGTTGTCAACATCGGAAGCATCACATCAGAAACAGATTGTCATCTTCCTGTCTCCCCTCAGCTCTGATCCTCTGTGCCCTCTGCCTCTGCTTCTGCTCTGCCATCTCCAGTCTCGTCGCCCGTCTTATACAGCGGAAAAGTAGGATTTCCAACTTCCAAGGATCTCATGGAGTAACAACCATGACGGTCCCGTCTCACGATTCAGGTGCGAGATTACCAGTGGGGACCGCGGGGATCAAAATAGCTGGTGAAGAGCCAATTATCATTAGACAGCATTATCGACCCAGCCAGACCGGGCCAGGGCGCGCCAAGACGGCGGCGGACCCCGGGCGGACTCGCGGGCGGACTGCTGGCGGACTCGACGCCTCAGGCCGCCTCAGGCTCCCTCCCCACGAGCGGGCGCGCCTAACCTACTTGGGCGGCCCCCCAAGGTTCAAACAGGAAGGAAGGGGCAGCGCTCATCACCAACAGGATTCCAAACCTCCTCCGTCTCCGTCTCCATCTTCGTCTTTGTCTTTGTCTTCGTCTTCATCTTCGTCTTCGTCTTCACCTCCGCTCCACCACTCTCGTTTTCCCTCTCCGCTCCCCGCGACGGCGACAACCACTCCGCCATTGACATCGGCATCGACTTCGACTTCGACTTCAATTCCGACGACAGCTCGACTTCGCCAACAACTCGCTCCCTTACGGCTTCTGCAGCATCAATAGCATCCATTTCCTTGCTTCTATTTTCTTGGCACGCTCCTTCGTCTCCCATCGCCCGCTTCGACATACGTCCGTTTCCTTCAATTCAGTCATCTCACCAAGTTGACTTCATATCACATCCCGACGCGCTTCCTGCAACTCCCGCCCGTCCCAACATCCCGGCTGCTCGTACATCAGATCAGGGGCAGGCTTCTCGAAGCGTTCCATTATCCTCCCCTTCTTCTTGAAACGAACGTCCCCCAACCCGCGATACCCCCCCAGGCAGTCTTTCTGCCCGGGCATTAGCCACCGCCAAAATAGCTACGTTACAGTTCCAACGCGCCCTCACCTCTCCGCCCTCCGCCTCGCCCGCCTACAAAGATGCGATGACCTTCCATGACCATGCGGCCCATTCTCCGATGCCTGGATCCCCGCCCGACCTAACGGGCTCCAAGTCCTCCAAGTCCTCCTCCTTCCACTCCTCGTACCAGTCCGACGACAACACCATCCTCACCGACGTCGCCAATTTCGAGGACATCGGCCTCGACGACGAGTCTCGAGCGGACCCTGACGTCGGGGAATTCGCGGTCAAGACGTCCTTGAACCCTTACGATGCCTCCTACGCGTCCGATCTCCGCGCATCCGCCCGACAGCGGCATCGGGTGCCGATGTCGACGACAAATGGCAACCGGGCGCAGAGGGAATTGATTACCTCCAAGGCCAGATCCCCGGCACCGGCACCCTACCAGAACCGGAGGGCCCTGCTCAGGAGCGTGACAGCGGATGGTGCCGTGCCGGCTCATAATGCCCGCAGTCCAACGAGGGTCGGGCTGGGCTTGCTGCCAGAGGGCCCTCTAAATAGCCCATCGTCAAGGAGAGCCCTCACAAGTCCGAGCACCCCATCTTTACCCCTGACCAAACGAAACAGAAGCTCAAGTCCGAATCTACCGGTTGGCCCGGAACACGATCTGCCTGCAGGCCACTTGAGGGTGCGGAGACGAAGTTGGCAATCTAACCGTGAGCGGAAATCTGCAACTGAGCTCGAGAAGGAATGTGACGACGATGACGGGGACGATGTTCCGGACGATATTTATCTCGAGAATATACCGATATCTCCCCGGCCCCCACAAGAACGCGCAGTCAGCGTGCCACCATCAACCTCCCCAAGCCCTGAACGACGGCCGAAGGAGAGAGTGAGGAGCGTTGGAAATGGCACATCTCCTGTCCCCGCCGAGCAAGGCGAGTTGCGACCAGCTAAGCCTCCTCAGAATCGTGGAGCTAGCGTCGGACCTCCGAGTACATTTCCCAAAGGACGGGCGAAGAGCTGGACGGCAGTCTTGTCGGAACTCAATGCAGAAGCAAAAGCCCTGACGGAAGCTCTGGAAGCCCATGCCGCGGACGAAGAAAACAGAGAGCCCGATCCTCGACAACGGCGGAGCTTTGGTAACGGCGCGGCTACCAACTTCGACAAACCCACGAGGATTAGATCCGCAATTGCTGAATTGCCCCCACTGCGAAGAACCAACATAATGATCGACCCCCTTCCCATATCGAAAGAGAAGGAAGCCGTGTTATCCCGAACCCGACCATCATGGCTCCCCCCCAAAGATCCAGCGGAGGAGAAGAGACATCTGAAGGAATACCAGAGGATGATGGCCATGTCCCTAGAAGCTGATCGCAAAAGAGAGGCCGAGAAACGAGCGAAATCTACGTGCAAAGACGACACGGCAAGCTCGTTGCTGCGGATCTGGGAGGAACACGTCATACCGAATTGGGATAACGTTATCCGTCAGAAGCGGACCCGAGAGCTGTGGTGGAGGGGCATTGCTCCGAGAAGTCGGGGCACTGTCTGGGCTAAAGCAATTGGCAATGAGCTCGGATTGACACCCTCCTCATACACTGCGGCTCTACGAAGAGCACAAGGACTGGAGAAGACAATAACGAAAGGCTCACAATTGACTCCTGAGGAAGAGAGGAAAAAGGGCTGGCTAAACAGGATCGAATCTGACGTCAAGAGCACGTTTCCCGAGCTGAGGATATTTCAGCCGACCGGGCCGCTCCATGAACCTTTGAAGGATGTGCTCAAGGCATATGCGATGTACCGGAGTGATGTTGGTTACATACACGGGACAAATGTGAGCAACTTCTCGCTCTCTTAACTCCTGTGATTTTCACTCTATTAACCCTCCCGGATGATGGTGTGAATGGGAATTTTGTGGCATCTTGACTGACCTGCTCCCATAGACCATCGCAGCACTCCTCCTCTTGAACATGGACACGCCTGCGGCATGTTTCCAGGCGCTTTCGAACATCCTTAACCGCCCCCTACCTCTTTCTTTCCACACCTCCGACTCTGGCGCAGTATCGCGCAGCTACAATCTTCTGCTTTCAACGTTGCAGCATAGATCCCCACGATTATACAAGCTCCTCACAGATTCTGACATCGCTCCACGTCCGGACTTATACCTACGAGATATGTTCGCGAGTCTCTTCACTGATCGTCTCAGTCTCGATAATGTAACCCGGCTGTGGGACGTCATGGTCTTTGAGGGCGATGCGGTCCTAGTCCGGGCTGGGGTCGCCTACCTGACGGCAATCGAAGGAAAGCTTTTTGGTGCGGCAAGTGCCAAGGAAATTTGTGAGATCGTGGGCGCTGGATTGGATAACATTGACGAGGAACAATGGATGAAAGAGGTTCGAACTGCTGGGAAGTCCTGAAGTATATATATAACGATATTGCGTGGTCGCGTCTTACTGCACACAATTCCAGTTGGAACTTGGGTGCTTGGCGGTGGCCGGCATGGGACTGTGAGCCCGATTTTCGTGCCCCGCTTAACTGGCGTTGAGGTTTCAATGAATGATGTGAACATAACGGTCTGAAATCGCCGGGCGTGGTACGAACATACATAATTCCTTTCTACATAATGTATATTCATGTCTTCTGCTGTATGCTATCTCTATCTCTTCTGGTGAACTATCCCCAGAAGGTTTCACTGATCCATGCTCTCTCTTTCCCCATCAGCAAATATAGCCTGGTGTTTGGAGGTAGTTGTTCCCTCACGGCTCTACTCAGGCTCCTTGATCGATGAACCGTTCAACATGGGGGCGTGGCAAAGCTATGTGTGGTTTCTGGGTGTAGTCAGTAAGAGATTGCTTCATACCTAGGATCAAAAGATCACCCGCACCTCCTCCACACCCCTTTATAGTCCAGAACATCCTCACTTTACATCTACCCCTACCGTAATGAAGATTTATCGGCTCGGCATCCGGGGAATACTGCTCTTTATATCGCTGGCCGGTTACTTTAATATTTATCTTGCTCGTTCTGATATAAGTTCCTGTGGAATTATTTCATGAAGGACATATTGTCATGCGAGCTCAACCCAAAATTTCTCTCTTACTGGTTCTTGTAGAACTCCCCGATGGGCTAATATCAATAAGTCAGGTCAGCTACTTCGAATCTTCCTCCGCCTTGAAATCTCCACGAGGGCAGTTTGAAGTTTTCAACAGAGATGTTTGTTTCTTAAAGTCTCAAAGCGTTGTCGGCTGCTACTTAGATAACCTGGCTACTAAGATATTAGAGCTATTCACAGAAAACCTAAGCTTGGGATGAATACTTTTTTACTATGCATTCAGCCAAATGCATCTAGCCTTTATGAACCCCATACATTTTACATCTAGTTGGATGTATATAGAATCAGAAGCTTCTCCTATATATTATTGTAAGCAAGGTTTTACGCGTCCCTCCACCGTTCTCATCTTTGTGCATCGGAATTTAACAATGCTTAATTCTTGCTATATTAAATGTTCTGATTATTACTCTCCCAAGAGCAGCAACGTTAGGGTCGGTTCGCTTATTCATTATATGTCTTATAGTGACAGCACTCTGAACTCTGTCTGCACTTACACACACAATCAACGATTCGATTTCCACCAGTAGTCCGCATCTGCAAATATTAAGTCCAGGATTCAAATAGTATAGGAGCGATTTCAGGAACTTACTTTCATGGACACCAGGCGGGGGGATATCGGCTCTCGCGGCAGCCTTCTGTTTATAGCTGATTCCGAACTGCTGATCACGCCTTTTGAGGGCTTCATCCATATGCAATTGATCTGCATGTGTAAAGGAGCCCATCAGAGTCGGATAGCCTTAAGCGCCCAATTAGCTGACTGGCACTCGGTTTCATAGAAGAGACATTTCAACATACCAAGAGGAACCTCATGTCCAAGGTCGGTTTGCCAAAAATGCCAAGTCTTCCCATACAACCCTACTACTTCCTTCATAGCAGCAAGTTCAGCCTTCTCCCACTCCTCAGTATCCCATCCGTCCGGCTTAGGGAATACCAACATTCCAGATTTTACTTCGAACTCGTGAGAATGCCTAGGAACGGACCGGAGAGTCAGCATATAGACTCGTGGGAAAGAAGTTGAATGTATCAAGATACAGCACACATGGACTTACCAGAGCTTTTGCTCTTCAGGATCTAATGTAAGGTATACATGCTTCGGAATCATGTACTCCACGCCAATCAATCGAGCATCCTTCGCATTCGAGTCATAGATCAGGCACTGTCGAAGATCTACCGAGAAGAAGCTGGATCAGCGAAAGTTGCGGGAGAGAGGAATGGTCGGCCAGAGTTTGACTTACCCTTTCGAGCATGGGAGCAAAAATGGTTGGCCTCCACAAATCGCGTGATTCCCTTGTTGGCATCCTCGGCGTAGACGTGGAGGGCGTGAAGAAACTCACACACATTGTGGAGCGGTTTGAATTGCTGCCACCTCTGTCAGCCACGAAGTAAGAGGGATGGAATCTTCAGGTGGGCTAATTACAGGACCGATAGTATCAGCACCAGATGCCATCTTTGCCAAGGCGACTAGATCGTATTTTCAAAGTGATTTGGATTGGAGGGAGAGGAGCCACAGACAGAGGGTTCAGGATATATACCGTGCAGAGAGTTTGTCACCGGCAATATTTGGCTGTGCATATCTTGTAGTTATCCTTGCTGGTGGTATCAGTGGTACGAATTGTACGATTAGGTCAACGATGACGGTTGGTGATGGTGGTTGGCGAACGTCTGAACGAATCAGAAGTGCTCAGCGATCTGTCGCTCATGATGTCAACATTCTTATCACAAGTCCCCTGAATCATAAGGAGTTCGAAGTTAGAAGGCTGCTTAACATCTGACTGCATATAAAACAGCTTATTCCTCCTTATGATGCTATGGCACCTACTACAGGAAAATATCAATTATCATCTACCCGCCATATTTAGCAGTAATCCAGAGAAAGCTCAAGAATGTATGAAAGAGGAATATGCTCTACATGCTGTAGGTAATTAGCCTTTTGTCAATTATATTCCACCAACTGAAATGACGACATAGACAAACGTCTTGGTGGGGTTGTGGCAACCACATTCCCCGCATCCTAGACCGGGCGCCCATGGAGCAACGATGTTCCTGTGAACCGAAAGTCTGGGGCCCGCTGCAAACCCTGAGTGAGTGGCGTGGTGGTTTTGTAGGACAGTAGTTGGAAAATAAATAATGTAGTTGGAAGATTTACAATGTAGTTACTTTGACTATGATGGTAAAAGAAATAGTGATGTCTGCTGAAGAATTGGGGCATAAGAAGGCGACACCATATGTAGAATGATTAGCAATTCTAAAGTTGGGAGATAATATATTTGCCTATGTGTTCTTTCATTAGGCTTTGTAGCCTCAATTAAACTTATAAAATATAAAGAAAGGGAAATCTGTTTGAATCTTAAATCTTAGTAGTAAATGCATTCAGTTAAAGGTATTACTTTTTAGTACTATTACCACTTGTACCCCTTATAAGGTGTCTCCTTCGACTACCGATGGGAAATGTATCATATTTATAGCATAAATAGATGACACTTACTGGCCAAGAGATGCTACATGTAGCATAACCCATGATGTTGCACACCCTAGAAGCATTATCGTCAATACTGTTCAAACGCTGAGCTCACATTCATATTCACCGAAGAGGCTTTAGGTCTTGGCCCAAATTAACTTCTGAATCAGGTATGGGATCACATGTCTAGCATCGTCTGTCTTGTTCCTATTAATTACGGCGCCAAACACCACTTTATAACTCGCGATCACAGAGGCATTCTGGATATTGTGCTTATATAGTATCCAAGGAACTCTAATCGACAGGCTTCCAGGACCGAAAGATACAAAAACAATCACCGTCCCCCCTCGAATCTCGGATATAAGAAACAATTACTGACTTTGATCACGGAACTTGTGGAGGATCAGTCCTGGGCTTATCCGTATCACCTTTTGCTCAGAAGCTGATAGCTGGATGATGTTTTTATGGTATTCAATGTACCTGTCTCCCCTGCAAGACATCTACTAGTTCGCTCTACCCCGCAACCCCACCATGGCTCTGATCCTGCCCGACGGTGTATGGTCTAGCCATATGATGGGTTGAATTCCGTCGGAGTTTGACTACAGTCGGAATGCAACCCACGAAACATGGAGATCTCTATCTCAAGTCCGTGTTCCGTTTGGAATGTTTTACTATTCAATTGCTTTGATCTTATAGTCATTTCTATATCTTGCCCAAGAGCATAAGTAGCGATATCCTTCTATCCTTGGTTATCAATCCCGAGAGTGTAACTCTTTCACATCCTATCATATTTCGCAGCTGAACTGGTATCAGCCCTTTCGAAAATGACTGATCCGATATATCAGAACGCATAGAAACTGTGACAGGTTTGGGCTGGGAACTCGGCCCTCAGATTGTGCAGCAAGTGAGTGAGTAGGGTTGTGCACCACAGAGTCCTTTCCTGACTCACGGAAATAATGTGCCTGCACCAGCGACAGCTTTCGCTAATGGGGTCATGGCGCGCGGCATCGATATGGGTGATTTTGAATCTTTGATGAAAGGGCGGCCATGTAACGGAGTGGAACCTTCAGACTATGCTTACCTTACAGCATTGGGCATTGCAGCCAAAACGGTCACGGGACGGGAGTTCATTGTAGCGTATCTAATTGGGAGTGAAATGAGCGTGCGGGTGAGTCATGAGTGCCGCCGGCAATCTGTGTGCTAACGCTGCTACAGGTATAACAGGAGAACTCTACGGATCTTGGGCTCCAGCATCGTCAGGCTCTCGGCTTCTGGGATTGACCGTTGATGATCACCGAAGATTTTGAGAGCTATTCCATTGAGATCCTGCTTAAAGATAGAAGACGTTTTCGTCGTTACATTCAGCCCTACGTCGAAGGGCACACCCACAATTGCATGACATGGGACGATTTGATCGTAGATTTCTGGAAGTGTGCACCGTATTCTGCAGTGCCTCTTCCCGAGGCAAAGCTCCAGTAATTGATCGAGTCGTGCAGAAACTTAAAGGGGTTTTAGATATTCAAGAAATGATCGAGTCACCAACTCCCTAGATAGTGTACCTCTACAACAGGTTTGTCTTTTTCTTACCTTGTCGAACGAGTCGGAACGACAATGGTGTTCAATGATTATTATATTGCTCACTTTAGAGAAATAGATGTCAGTTGCTATTTTATATACCTAGGTGCCTTAGATGTCTACAATTACTACAGCTGCTAAGTCTAGTACGTATCCTCTATAGAGTTAGCAGGTCTATGCATAAAGAATTTAAGTGTCTACCTTACTAAACCCTTATAACCTCTGTCTGTGATTTTGGCATATTACTTCCTTTCCTTGTGGCTAGGTATCTTCAACATTTAAATCAATCACAAGTGTACCTGTAACCTGATAGTAAACCTCTTTGGCTGAGGCGATGTAGCTCCAGCTCTTGAGCCTCTTGTGTTCCGGGAACAAGTGCCCCTCGGAAAGAGCGATGATTCAAGCAGGAGGACAACGCCGTATCATTGTCCAGAGCATAAGCTGGCTTGACGTAGGGTAAATACTACCAGACTAGCAGAATGTTATTTTATGTTAGCTACTGATTTGTCACGACTCACTGGATGAATCACAACTTCAGGTTCTACCAGTAATGTTAGAACTTAGGATAAACCTCAAAACTTTTTTTTTGAAATTGGCAGCTAAGAATTCCCTGGAGTACCTATATTACAAACCCAACGCCTCTAGTGAAAACCATATTCCATGTGTGGCCTCCTGTTCCTCTGCAGTCTGGTAGGAATCACTGCACGGCCACACGGCCCCGCCTCCCCCGAACAACGCCTACTATACAATGTCGCAGACAACTCAATGACTCAGGCTCCGTCTCTACCTCAAATTCTGTATATCACGCCATAATCTCATCGCCTATAACACGACGGAGCGCGGCGCGCCTTTAGTGTCCTGATGCCGGGGAGTTATTGTGCTTATGCTGGCCGGGTTGGTAGTTCTTTGGATCGCCGATAGGAGAGCCGGGTAGTACAGTCGGGCTCTCTGAGCCGTGACGCTGGCGCCTTTCGCCATCTGTGATGGTTTTCGGCCAGTCGTAATTGGGGGTAGGTGGCCGATTCGCCGGCACGTTCTTAGTGTCTATTGACAGCTTGGGCGGCGCCGGCATCGGTATCGCGACAGTAACCGTCACGAGGGCGGTGAGGACAGTCAGATAAGAGCTGAGCAACATGATGGCGTTGAACGAGTTTGACTGTGGGATGAAGTCAAAGAATTCTGAGTTGCTTAATGGAAATGTGTAAGAGGTAGTCTCGGGTAGATAAGTAAAGAGATGATGTTTGAATGTCTGACTGAGTAGGTAAAAGATATTGATATATATACCTTATTCAAGAGCTTCGACAGCCAATAACCCTAAAGGATGTAGGGCTACCTGTAGGAATTGTTGTAGGATCACTGGCTGTGGAGGTTGTTCTATTTTTATAACCGTTTTAGAATGGCTCCTGAGGGGCACAGCAGCATTGAGTACTCTAGATAGTGCCTGTAAATATAAAGTTGGACTTACCGAGCTTAGGGGCAGCCATTCTGATGTAGAGGAATAAGAGATGAGAACAACACAGCCTCATCCTCTTTCCATCTCTATTGTGTCTCGGACCAAGTCGTGATGTTACAGATCCACAGATCCACAGATCCTGCGGACCGAGCCGCAGTACAGGAATAAGCTGAGTCATTAATTATGTAAACCGCTAGCGAAGCCAGCTTGGCCATTCTACACAAGAACAACACCCAAGGTGCTCTGTATAGTATCGACAATACCTACCCAAGGTGGTCTGTATAGTATCAAGTAAGCAACGGCTGTCTTTAAACAATGACCACACACATTCCAACCAGTCTCATAGATCTCCTCTCAAACCATCTTGTACTCGCTCAATTAGCTCCCTACCTATCGATCTCGGCTCTCTTCAACCTCTCAGTCACGTCGCGTAGGTTCAACGAGGTCATCTGCAGCGACCCAAATGCATTCCAGCGTCTCGATCTTTCAACTGTTCGTGGGGTGCCATATCACCTATGCGAGCTCGAGCCCTATGAACCGCATACTGTAGTTGATGATCATGGCCACAGCGTCGAAGAACGGGAGAGGTATTGTTTGCCCCTTAAGAAACTTGCCAATATATCGTGGAAACGGGATCTGCTGCCAACAGTGCAGACCCTGATTTTGGACCGGCAATATGTTCATGTGGATATGGTTCGAGATATCCTGCTCGACCACGCATGTCAGATCCGTCTACTTTCCCTCATCGATGTGCGCGGTCTCGATCGACTCGATTTCCAGCACCTGATCGATGACATTTTCAGGGGTGGACGCCGCTTAGACAGTCCCCGTCTTGAAGCTATCTATTATTTTGGCCCTCCATCAGTATCGGGAAAGTTCTGCGATCAACCTGTGGCATCAGACGCAGACGAGGACCCGAACCCTTGGTATCTTCGTTCCAAAGTAGCATTTCAACCTCCAGAGTTCGAGTTCCTATACTCTGCATTACTTAGAGCCACCCAGGGAGTCTTAGTGTGGGATGCTGTTCTATGCAGAGCACCAAGACACACATATCCAAATCCTCGCTATATCATCCCAACTATCGCCAGCGTGGCACTCGGTCCTAGGGGTTGCCATATATGCCATTCTTCGCCTGAAGGTCCTGGTTCCACGGTAAACCAACTACCACTACTATCACCACCACCATTACATTCATCATTAATCAAAGTCGCCCAAGAAGTTCCTTCCAACGGCCCGCGCACTGCCCCCTTACCATTTTATGCTCGCTGCGTCAGTTGCCTAAAGCACCGTTGGTGTGTAAGGTGCAACAAGTGGTGGTGTGAAAACTGCTATCAATTCGGCGGACCAAACTGTTACAAGGAAAACAATGCAAGAGGTCTCGATAGTGCGGGTACCAAGGTAAGCTGCTATTTATTTGTTGCCGATCGTGTCCGAGCATGCTGGATCTTTGCTCTTTTGATCCAATCTACAAGGGTAGCTTTCTTTTGATACAAACGATGGCTGATTTATTTGTGTATAGTCAGAGTGCGACGAATGTGGCCGCTTAGTAAGTTACTCCTATGCTAGAAAGCTGCTCAGCGTCTTATGTATACTTCTTCAGTGCAGCGAATGCAATACCAAGTACCAGAAGCTGTACATGTGCTGTAATACCACCCATTGTTTGATTCACGATAAGCAATCTTCAGGACTTAGTACGGTATTATTATTACTGCCTATTTATTTAACGTTAGCTAACATAAGACAGTGCGAAGCATGTGCAGCTTTACCTGTGCAAGAGCTTTAAAACAGTTATTATGACAGTTTCTTTCTTCACCCTCGATAGTCACGCATGCCTTATTACTAGCAGTTAGCTTACAGCCAGCGCTTGGCATATATTTCCAACCCTCTATCTACCTGTCTAAACTCTAATAGATACATTATGCGCTTCATCATCTTATTAGCAACATCACAACATCACCGCCCACCCTTCTCCACACATATCTCACACGCACAAGTAGACATGAAAACATTCTCAACTGTTCTTTTCCTCTCCTCGAATGAAACCATTCGCTACTAAATCGAAATAGGTAATGCAGCATTCTTTACCTAGTGCGATGTCGCGAGAGGCGTGGAGGACCATGCGGCCATCGCTGTTGGGTTTATGCGTCGCCTGGTTTTGACGCTTAGGAGTGCAATGGAACGGAATGGATTTGATTGTATAGAAAATTCATACATTTGAAACACAAGAATGATTCATATTCGATGCTATTGGCAAAAGCGCAACTGCGTACTCCACCCCGCGTTTTGTTGGAGAGGGGAGACCGATATTAACAATCTGATCTGTGGCGTTATTGACAATATTCTTCGGTATAATATCGGCCTCCTCCAGTCTCCTCAAACCATCACTAGTCCAATGTTGACAGTTCCAGGATTGTTCATTGTTATTGATAGGAGTGTTGTCGAGTATGTTGTCGAGTTCTTTTCGTATGGTCAAGTCCTAGGGGGACTCGATTGAGTTGTCGCAACTGGAATCCCACGCTCAAATTTTGCACTTTGTTGTGGAGGTCTAGTTTCGTTCAATCTTTTATCAAATGAGAAGAAGCCAGTAGAAAGTTGTGTAGCGGTTCAATTGTGAATCAATTGGGTCACCTCTGTACACTATGATGGACAGGGTCAGGCTGAACACTTCGGGTGGAGCCTCTTCTTCGCGTATGTCGCTGTGGCTGTATCTGCCTCTGGAGTGGTGTCCGCTATGGCCTTTCCTGTTTGACTTGTTTATCGTCGAGATTTGAGGAATGATGTGAAAGAGAAATTGTACTGGGTTGCCAAAACCGGTTTAAGTGTTGAAGTAGAGGAGATGGCAAGGAATTTGATCTTTAGAGTTGAAGCAAATAAGAGATGATAATCGGCTTGAGTATCGAAAAAAGCAGAAAAAGATGGTTGGTTGAATTCCGAAGAGAGAGCAGAAGTGCTGCCTAGACAGCTTTTATATAGACAGTCACACCCAGTGGGATGTTCACATCTTCTTTGTAAAACGAGTAAGGCGATGTTACGACGTAAGGATGCTCAATCTTTTTAAGTGTTATCTTTGAAATAACTAATCAGTCACAATTGGTATCTACAGGACGAATAGATGCTGAATAATGATAGTGAGTGACGATAGTGACCTGCATTTGTCAACACACTAAAGCAGGTTACACATACCCTAGGCGGTTGGTTAACGAGCTTTCCAGCGGGAAAGTCAGACCTTTAGGCCGAGAAGAGGAAGCTTCTAACATCAGATATGTGATGGCGGATTTAGCAAGTTGGTCTGACTAGCTTTGTAGATGTGAAGGCCCACAATGAACTTACTAAGGCTTTCTAGACCAACTCTACAAGGAGAGTACTCTAAGAAAGAAAAAGGAACCTTGTACAAAGAGTTGGAAAACTCTACTCGCTTGGGCATAATTAACGATAGTCCCTTTCTACGAGCCTCGGTCAGGATAACGAAGGCGTTAGGTCACGTACCTAGGCAATGACCCTGTACCGAGTTCTGACCCGCCACAGAAATAATAGTATTAATAGATAGTAAATCACTGCTATTTTCTTTATAATGGTTAGTATATATGTTAGTACATTGAATCCTGGTTGCGAACACAGCTTAAACCTACTTTTGATAGGAGATCCTGCTCTAAAGGGACACAAACAGTAAGTTTTCAACCATTAATAAAGGGTAAATTAAGCCCCTACTAGATGCTAACAACAAGTTTGCCTATAGGTGAATTTGATCTTATAAAGCAATCACCGCGGCATCTAATTCTCAGTGTGTAATACACCATCATCGCTAGTAACCTTATATAAATATATACATGCATTTAGTCGTCAATCCAGAGTCGTTATGCTGCCATTCAGATTACTCCTTTGCTATTTAGACTAGAGAAACTTCCAGGACAGACTTTCTTCTCTCCTGATCCTTTAAGGATTCGAAAGGAATATACCAGCTTTTCGGGACACAGCATCAAGGAAGCCAGGCTATAGAGTATACGTTAGCTGGTGAATGTACCTAATAGCTATGGCAGAGACTAACCTTCTCATTGGCTATGTTCTTAAACATCTCTAAACTAATAACATCCCCCTCGACCGTTGGACCTTCGAAGTCAACCGCCTTCATGAACGCAACAAGTTTCTCTTTCGGAATCCCGAGCTCCTTAGTCGCGGATGTAGCCGTGGGACTTTGAGGCGCCAATCTTGCAGCCATAGGACGAAGCTGTTCATGTCCCCAGGGTCCGTAAATCATGTCGGGACGAGGTTGCACGAGGGAAAGCACATCAAGGATATCCTCCTGTGTTGGCTCTCCACCCGAGAGAGCACAAAAACTAGTTGAAAAAGAAGAGGTCAGTAAATACTCAGTCTAAATTGCATAAGATGAGATATTGATATTGCTTTTAGTCAACTTCCCATAAGCTCGTGAGTACTCTTGATACGTGCCTCGGCAGCAGCTTACAAATCCATGGGACAACCAAGAGAGAAAGAAAGCCGTGAGGTTTATAACAAAGATTTCGTACTTACAGTAACCTTAGCTTGTCGTCTTGAGTCCTTCCCCGCTTCAAGACTTTATCTTCCCCTCCTCTTCTCACCACGTCTCTGCGATCTAAAGCCTTCTCATCTCTCCCTGTAAGCGCCACCACCGCGCGAAGCAGGCTATCGCTCGAAAGCGGCAACGGTAACGGTTGAAAAGGGTATCCAGCGTAGAAGCTGAGGCATTCAGAGATTCCAGTATCAGCTGGAGAGAGAGACTGGAAGCTCTTTTTGAAAGTAGAGAGCTCGGTGGGTGTAAGAGCGGGCCCAAAATTTTGTTCCTCGTTGCCGTTGATAAAGATTTCAGTAAGGGCTTTTTGTACGTCATCTTTCCTGGATCAGTATACAACACTGCTCGGCGCCAAAGGAAAGAATGCAACGAACCAGTAGTGGCAGTTTTAACCCACGTGTCAAGAGGCTTCTGGCTTTTAAACAAAGACCTAACCTTGAGGCCGACTCCAGAGAGTAATGCGGTCATAGCTGCTGTTCTAAGGGTCAGATAACTAGGTGAATCTTCTGGCAATCAAAGTGACTTGTTTGTTGGTTGTATGGAAATTCCTGCGATAGACTTCTTGTCTTGAGGGGGATGTAGAGGTGTTCAAGCTTGCTGCGTCGCGAAGACGGCCACGGCTCTATGGTCTAAGCCTTAAATAAGCGAACACGAACACCCCATGTGGCGCAGAGCCTTCAGCCCCGAGGATACCGCTACAGAGCTGCGCATGTATTCCGTAGGATTTTCACTACTGATATCTGATCATGCATGATCATGCAACGTGGCGCATTTTACCGTGTAGTGCTTTGCAGTAAACCATTCAGGAGCTGGAAGCAAAACACAGCCGTCGTGGGTCTATAGTCCAGAACGCACTGGTAAGAATTCTGCCGCGCAGCTTAGCCTCCCCAACCCACCCCCCGGGAGATCGTATAACTTTAATTTCAATAAGCTTATCCAGGCAGCTAGGATTGGGTAGATCAAGGACTTAAGCATATACTAGAATTATGTAATCAGATTTTACGACATTCTTGATACACACTAACCACCCTACGGTCTACCCGTGAAACCACTCCCTCCGTACACACGCCCCGTCAATCAAAGGATAGTAACTATCTATGGTAGCTTTTGCGTGTGCCCAGACGGCTTCCAATCCTAATGCTTCTCGTGGTCCTTCCATAGTTACAACTATGCTTCTCCTGGCGATGAAGGAAGTCAGGAGGAAGCTTGGAGAGACCAAGAAGCTTAGACGGTGGCATCAGCGTTGGAATCAGCGTTGTCCATGCCGATGAAGTCTTGGAGGAAGCAGATCAGGATCACGAGGAGGAGGGCGAAGAAGATTAGGAATTCTTTCGTTTGATGAAAACAGTTGTGGACAAAAAAGTATAAATGCTCTGTCCTTTCTCGCTCTTGGAAACCTATCAAGCCAACACAGATTCTCTATTACAATCAGAAATACCTTTCCAAGTTCCTACGATAGCGACCTTTTCAGCGCACCTTCTAGCTACACCCACACCCAAAACCCCACAATGCAATTCATCAAACTCCTTCTCCTGTCACTAGCATACCTCGTCAGTATTGCGGTTGCAGCCAACAGCGCGGAATACGAGGCGCTATCCAAGTTCAAAAAAGGCATGCAGGCCGGACACGCATATGCATTCAAGGCAGGCCCCATTTTCGGACACCAGCGTCTTATAGTCGCGAGGATTACCGGAACCCCCGGGAATCTTGACGTACAGGCAGAGATGTTCCAGATCTATGCAGATGCAGACACCAATAAGAAATTCCAGGCAAACAAGCCGGAGTGGGATTGCAAAATTGGGAAATACAGGTATAAGGGGGAGGTGGATGGAAGCTTGACTTACACGGACATTTCGATCAAAGGTGACTGGCTTCTTACTAGGAACCTGTTAGAACAAAAATGCTAACTTTAGTTGCAGGCGAGGTTTTGCTCATAGGGAATACGGAATACCACCTAGTCACGAACAACTGTATCCAGCATATCAACAACCTGCTCAAGGCAATCAAGACGCGCGAGGAATTAATCGAGCAACTTAGAGCCAATCGAGAGAGGCGTATGGCTCATTCAGTATTTGAGAAACGACAACTCGACGAGGGCGACCTAGGATTAGAGTACTAGAAAACAATACTGTCAGGAGATAGATGCTTTACGAAAGGTTAGTGCGGAACCAGAAGAAATCCACGAAAGCTAGAGAGAGGAAGTGTCGTGAAAAAAGTCTTAGGAATCTTTGGATAAAATGACCAGTTCTCTAGTCTGGCTTGTTCAATCAACAGGATTCTATTAGCGGTACAATTCTGCAATTTAAGTTCCAGATAGAATACTAGAAAATTCATATGGGTTTTACAGTTGTTAACCACTCGTTACTGCGTTAGGTCTCGATAAAAAGGTAATCGTATCAATTGTATATTTCGCGGTCAGCGTTGAGCGCGAACTCAATCAAGAATTTGAGGTACAATGTATATAGGATCCATGGCCCTAGCAGTGCCCAGTTGAATACGAACCATTCTGCAGTTCTGATTCCTGTAACGGTCTAAGGTGAAACCCTAACAGTGAAAGAGAAGTTACTGGCTCTAGGATCGATAACGCACATCAGAAAGGAATATCGAAATCTAGGTAAAAGCAGGGTCGATTCTGGATCCCCTTTTCATGGTTAAAAAATAGCTTGGTTCAATTATCATACCTCAAAGCCGAACGCCTTAAGTCTTGCGCAGCTCTCTACTATTCTATCCTACTGAATTCTCCCTGCTTAATGTTGTGCTGCGTCATCAGCTCGACCACTGCAGGATCACTCTGCATGCGGGCATACTGTAACGGAGTCTACCTAGGATTATGACTCCTTAATGCAGGTCATTCCCTCCGTAACGGTCGCTGGTTCCTGTGCGGCCCACTGGGGCCATTGGCCTCGGGCGGCCGACCCAGGGAGGCACGGCACTAGCCGCCTATATTCAACAAAAATGTTTTTAGGACAGCTTCTGTGACACTAACTGCATACAGAATGACAATGGTTTGTGATTAGTGAGTATACGCATTCTGCTATTGTAGTGATACAACCCCCTCAAAGTAATAGGTACTGCAACTTTTCCTGCCTTACTAGATCACTATAACCAACACACTGTAACCCTATCCTCGGGCCCGTTTTGTGAGGGAACCACGTGAGTTCGCATATAGGTGGCCGAATTCTAGAAAATTAATTATTTGGGATTCTTGTCAAACAAATGGGAGGTTATATCACAAAAGAGGTGGTAATAACAGGGCGATTTCAAGTAGATTAGAACAGGATTGAATTGACTAGAAAGGTAGGTAGCTAACTGCTCTATATACTCAAAAAAGAGGAGAGGTAAAGGCGCGATAGGTGCCTGAGAGCCTGAATATCCAACAGTCCTGACAGGGTCTAACAGAGACTCTTGAAAAGGGGAGAGTGAGAGTAACGATCCCTGTTATATGCGGCAGGGATCAGTTGGTGATTAGGGGAACGGGATCCGTTATCCCGGTAGGTGATCCCCCAGCTCGACAATTCTTCATATCTTGCTCAATTAGGCCTCAAAGCCACCTCTAGAATCTGCAGCATGTAAGTCATCAATTCTGGAAGGCTTTAAAATCAACCATAAAATACGGATAAGCGGTCACGTGGGTTCGCTAGATTATAGGCTCCTCTAATAAGAAAGTCTATTGGCGGGGAACTAACCAAAAAGTCTGGTCCCTGCTGCTTGGCCGCACCAACCAACACTAAGAGAACAGTAATAGGGAGCTCGAATTGCGCCGTTAGGGTCTCTGAGTTGAGGTTTGAGAGGCGGTTCGAATGTTCGAATGATTGGAGCTGATCCTACTAGTTCAAATCTCCCCGCCAACTCTAACAGCAGAGGGAACGGCTGCTAATCAAGTCTGTATAACTGCGTACTACCCTCTTTAAATGAGGCTCCGACAGACATAGGATACATGCTAATAAGTAATAAAGCCGAGTTTAGCCTAACCTAAACACATCGTTGTGACATTGCAACTGTCTCGAGCCTATTTCGAGACAACTCCCTGTAAAGGTTCTGTCTCCGTTCGTGTTGGCTAGGATCGAACGCCGGACCCTTAGAGTTACTTGCTATGGTTTCATTCTCTTCATTTTAGAAAACCTACTTCATCATCCTATTCGCCGTCTTGTAAGAAGAACCGTACCGCCGACCATGGCCCTAGACTAGCTAACCAGGCTAACAGTCAGAGATAGAGCTATCAACTCTACCCTCGAGTCAATCTAACTGACATCGTGACTCGAACTTCAGGGCAATTAAGCACGATAGGTCGTTTTTGGCGTACACTTTTCTCGGTTCTGATTTTGGCCGATTCTGGTGATCCTTTTTGGCTCAATCCAGGCGCGGGTTCTAATTTTGTCTTGTTGGATGAGTTCTTAGATTGTTGAAACACGAAACAAGCGTAACGCCTATACAAGACAGTCCGGAATCAAGCCAGCTACCGTCAGTGCGTCGCAGGCAGCTGAACAGACTCATGTCTATGGCAGAGGCGCCATGGTCTATTCTGTTCGAATACTAGTCTTGTGGCCCTCTAGTAGAGACACCTAATCATTGGCTGTAGTAAAGTTCGAAAAGCAGAACCTCGAACACACAAAAATTCGAACTGTGTTAACCGGTGGCTTTATTAGAAGTTGAAAAGGGCGTACAAAATGTATAATATCAAACGTTCGTCCGGTTTAAGACTTCCAAGATTTATTTATCTGTCACCCAAACTTTCTTACTACAGCATTACTAAATACTATATCGTTTATTGACTTCATCTCCTCTTAGCCCTCTGAACCTGGTAAGTACTATAGGTGATTAGTACGAGTACTTGACTGATGATACAAGTACGGAGCACACTATTGTCAAATACTGCCACATCTGAAAAGCATATCTCTCGAGGAAACTTGTAAGGAGGATCAGCCAGCTTACAAATATCTTATACTAACATCTCTTTAGAGCCATGAGTAATCCTCGGTATGTTGGCATGACTGATGTAACCTACGACTTAGTAGTAACCCACGTTATTTTGGCTGCACACTCTCCAAACCCAACAGCGGCTAGCGGTAGCGTTCTTGTTAATCATTGGGCCGTTTATCTTCGAATTTCAGAACGCCAATCAATTCGGCTCGATATGACCCTGATGCCAGACACTCTTATAGTATCAAACTTGACATACGAATTGTCAAGTGGCGTGGTATTCAGCATCCCTTTCCCCGCTCAGCCGAACTTGACTGTCGGGGACGTTGTACGGGGAATTCTTTACAAAGGCTACGAAAAGTATCACTATGGTCCATCAAGACATACACGTAATACCTGCACTCTAAAAGTAACGGACTATTTCAAAGAGCAAAGTTGGATCGGCGGAACCGGACGCGAGACTTGGGATGCTGTATCTCAGACGTATGATCACAGAGGAAACCGAATGGCTGAAACTCCAGAGATGACACAGGGGACATTCTACACATAGTGAAAGGGAAGTGATCATGAGATTAAATGGTGGGGTAGAAGAACTTGGGCGGTGGCTCAGAGGGTATGGAGGAGGACGAATCAGAGCCTCTAGGAACTTGCTGATTGCTTGATCGCTTTTCTGATTTGGCTTTTCTATTTTATTTGGAATTGAATTGATTGTTTCAACAACGTTTGTTCGAGTCTGTGGCAGGCGGGCAATATTTTTGATCGATAGAATAAGGTTCCATTAACTGACTCGAAATGCGTGAATGGGCAACCAAATTTGTGACGAACGCGCGGACAAATGAAAAGTGTCAAAACGGGAGGAAAGGACTTGATTAAAGAGTTGAAGGTAGGGTCTAGAGAGGCTATATACAGGTAAAGGTGGCAAATCGGTACAACGGATCTTTGGTAATAGGACCCTAATAAGCCCGTTCTATATCCGACAAAAAGCGACCCTTTTTAGAGCGAAAATGGCAGAATTTCCCTACGTCCTAAAAACTAATACAAAAGTGCAAAGACCTTCAGATTTTGGTGTTCCTCTATCAATGGGCCAAATCGTAAAAAGTAGGTCAGGTTTCAACCTTCACGCCTCTGTCATGTAGGCTAATAGAATCAGTCTCAAAGGGGAGACGAAGCTAATGGATGATCCAATAAGATTCACTTGATTTGCCGCGCGTCTGACCTGCTCTGGTTTGATTTGGCGAAGCGCGAGATTTCCACAAAAAAATCCATCCTATAGCTACTGTAACCAATAAATAGATCCTAAAGGGAAAAAGAATCCTCGCAATATCGGCAGCTATTCATACAGGTATGATAAATATTCCGGCTCGTAATTCTGCCTAACTTAGACTTAGATTTCGACAAAAGCCACAAGCCGCGATTCCGACATCTGGCGGTGTCATGCTATGCAACTCTCGAAAATATGGCTTATCCTGAGGGAGAAAGAGATCTAAAAGATATCACCGATGACAAGTTGATAGGAGCTTGGAAACTTGAAGCTTTGGGTCGAGGCATCTGCACCAACGATCGCCCTCATGTAGTGAAGGTCACGTCTACAGCAATTATGAAAATGGATATCTCTGTAGAGGCGGAGGTCGCAAACATGGAAGAGGTTCTCAAGAAAAGTTATGTGCGACTGCCACGTGTCTACAGAACCCTATCCGATGGACAGTCTGAGTACATTGTTATGGAGTACATTGATGGAGAGCGTCTCGACCATATCAAATGGGAGACTCGCACAGAGCGGGAGCGGCAGCATATCAAGAATGAGATCAAGCAAGCTCTCATTTCCTTGGCTCGTCTTTGCAGCACAGTCCCAGGTCCAGTAAAGAACACTGCACGGGGACGACTCTTCAGTGTGTATGGTGCTCATACTAAGTTCAGCTCTGTGCACGAGTTGGAAGAGTGGCTGACTGCGAAACTCTTTAGAGAGGGAAGTCTTATTGGGGCATTTGATCAACTGGTCATGTGTCACATGGACCTGAATCCGAGGAATCTGATACTTGACAAGGCCGGTCATCTTTTCTTTCTAGATTGGGCACACGCGGGCTACTACCCACCAGAATTCCAAGAAGCTCTTCTTCTCTATGACATCCGACTCCCTCACTCAAAGTGCGCATGGACGCAGGACTTACTTGCCGTGCACAGAGAAGTGCACGGGGTTGGAAATTCCGACGTGGTGGCAAAGCTTTTGCGTATCTTAGAGAACAACAACGGCCCGAGAGGGGGATCGCATCTTCTAAACGGCGAGCAGGGCATTGGCCCGCCTCCACTCATTCCTAGAAAGTTAGAGGGACACGCGAAGGAAACTGCCTAGAAGTCTTAGAAGATGTCATTACAAGAGAACAGGGTCATACGTGGATTACTTAGATTGTCGACTTAGTAACCTGCCTAGCATGTAGGTACAATAACACAACAGGCAAGACAACATACGAAGGGATTAAGGCAGACGAAAGTGTATATAGTACAAATCTTCTCGTTACTATAACTTTATAATAAGCTAAACGTTTAAATCGATTTTGTTATGTAGTCCTCGCCACGACGACCTTAACGGTGTCGATAGGGTCAGGGTTAGGTTAGGGTTAGAGGTTTATTGTTAGTACTATTAATAGTACTACCTTTACCTCTTAAGACACGCCCTTTCTAAGACCTATTACTAGAATATAGTAGATAAGATCTAAATACCCTTTAGGTACTATACTTTATACTAGTGCCCTTAAGGTACCTTTCTTAAGACATATCTTATTTATAGTATTAAACTAAGGTATACTTATATAACTAAAGGCCTAAGGTAAAACTACTTAAGATTTTATAAAAAGATATATATACTACTAGATTACTCTTATATATATATATATAGTATGTCTTAGCTCTACTAGGTTAAGAGGCCTCTTACTACCTTACTATAATAATATAATAAGAGCTACTTAAGAGTCGTAATTAGTTAAGCCTTATTTAAGGCTAAGGCCTTTATAAAGAGTCTAGTCTAGTATTCTATCTTTACTTTAAACCTCTTTAAGAGAATACTAATACTACTATATAATAAGAACTAAGAGAGAATATCTATTCTTTTCTTATTAAACCTAAGTTTTAGGTAGTACTACTTACTAAGACTTATTAATTACTTACTTTTTATATAGATATACTAGACGTTCTTTAACCTTAGAATACTAAGGGTTTTAATACATTTAAGAAGTCTATACTAAAGAGCGTGCTCTAGGATTAAGGCTAGGTATAAAGAGCGTTTAGGCCTATAGCCTAGCTTTATAAGAGTAAGTTTATAGTAATTATAAAGGGCCTGCCGGCTAACTATATTATATAAGTAAAGGTAAGAGCGTTACTAGTAGAGATTTAGGCTTATGTACTATACGTTATAAAGGTTAAGGTTAAGCTTATTAAGGCCTTTATAGTAAAGTTTATAATAGTAGTACTATACTTTTAGAGCGCTAAGGTAGTAATATACTTATATAACTAGAGATTAATCTAGTTAAGGTTAAGGTTAAGAGTTTATTATTAGTACTATTAATAGTACTACCTTTACCTCTTAAGACACGCCCTTCTTAAGACTTATTACTAGAATATAGTAGACAAGATCTAAATACCCTTTAGGTACTATACTCTATACTAACGCTCTTAAGGTACCTCTCTTAAGACATATCTTATTTATAGTATTAAACTAAGGTATACTTACGTAACTAAAGGCCTAAGGTAAAACTACTTAAGATTCTATAAAGAGATGTATATACTACTAGATTACTCTTATATATATATATAGTACGTCTTAGCTTTACTAGGTTAAAGGACTTCTTACTACTTTACTATAATAATATAATAAGAACTACCTAAGAGTCGTGATTAGTTAAGCCTTATCTAAGGCTAAGGCCTTTATAAGAAGTCTAGTCTAGTGTTCTACTTTTACTCTAAACCTTTTTAAGAGAATACTAATACTACTATATAATAAGAACTAAGAAAGAACGTCTATTTCTTTTTTATTAAACTTATATTCTATCTTTAGGTAGTACTACTTACTAAGACTTATTAATTACTTACTTTTTATATAAATATACTAGACGTCTCTTAACCTTAGAATACTAGAGGTTTTAATAGCCTTATCTAAGTACTTAATAGTATTGTCTTATATAAGAAGTTTATATAAGGTTCTTTTTTTTATAAGCTTCTTTCTTTTTCTTTACCCTTATTAAAGGCTTACTTATCTTACTAGCGACATATATATCTTAAGAAAGGTACTAGTAAAAGTAGTCTTTATTAAGCTATTTAGGTCTATTCTTATTCTAAGTTTTTTCTTACTAATATAAGTACTCTACTTAGACTTAACTCTTTTAACCCTTTTCTAAGAGTAAAGACGTTACCTTAACTACGTTTACTATATTACGTAGTACTTCTTTAGTATATTATATATATAAGACCTATACTCTTTATTAACCTTATATATATTATATCTATAACTATGTTAGGGACTTAAAGAGGTAGGATTAAGAATGCGCGGGCCCCGTGTACTTATAGGTACGCTAGGGCTACTTAGGGTTTTTAGGTAGTACACATATATCTTAGGGAGTAGAGAGTAAGAAAGAGAGGTAAGAATTAGTTTTAGATTTAAATTAAAGTATACTACGACTTACTAGCTACTCGACTATAATTCTCTACTATATTACCTCTAATACTAATCTCTAACATTCTAATTCTTCTCTCTATTAAGGAGGTAGCTTGTTATAGTTATAGTACTTAGTCGTTTAGAAAGAGACACCTAAGAGACTCTTGTAAAAAGAGCTACTAGTAAAGGAAACCCTAGTAAAGGAACTCTTACTATAATATAAGTAAGCTATATAGTAGTTAGGTAAGAGTAGGATTAGAGAGTAAGAGACGCTAGTAACGAGTTAGTAACACTTAGTTAAGTTAAAAGGCTATAAGCGTAACTTATAAAAGCCTAGAAACGTAATAAGGAACTTAAGTAACTAAATAAAGAGAAGGACAAGAAAGAGCGTAAGGCCTAGAAAAGGTCGCTCTAATAGCTTATTAAGAAAGAGCGCGTAAAGAGCTAGCGTCTCTCTTTACGTCTTTACGCGCCTAAAGACAAGGCTAGAGACACGATCTAAGAATAAGACAGTATCTATAATAAGGCTATAGAGTCTATAAGAAGATACTTAGTAACACCCTTAGGACTACTAGTATTTATAACGATAATAGTTAAGTAATAATAAGCCTTAGCCCTAAAGCCCTTTATAAGTAAGAATATCTTAGAATATAACGATTTTGTATATACTTATAAGATAGAGTTTTGTATAAGCCCTAACATCTATACGATAAAAGAGAGTAAAATTATGTATACTATACTATACCTAGAGAAGACCCCTTAATCTATATAGATATATAAAGAGTAAGAGTAAGGAGAGGATATAAGGACATAGTATAGTTTTAAGAGGGTTATACTATCTTACTTAGGCGGCCTAAAAATAGTAAAGTTAAAGGTACTTAGCTAGTGTAAGAAGGTAGTACTTTACTTAAGACAATCTATCTAGTCGTTTGTCTAATACCTAGAGCTCTTTAAGGAACAACTCTTTTTTAAATCTAAAGAGACTAGAATAAATGTTCTCTTTACTAAGGGTTAGGGTTAGGGTTAGGGTTAGGGTTAGGGTTAGGGTTAGGGTTAGGGTTAGGGTTAGGGTTAGGGTTAGGGTTAGGGTTAGGGTTAGGGTTAGGGTT